ACAAAAGTATCATGGCTGCTGAAGGTGACCAAAAGTAAACAATTAAAAAAATTGTTTACTGTCGAGTGGCGTTCCCAACTAAATTACATAAAAGAAACCAAAGAGATATCCTAAAATTCAATGCTATTGATAACAAGCATTAGAGCGCTTCTAAAGTTCCCAAATTCGTGGAAAGTTCACAAACAAGGAATATTTTAAATGCATTAGTTCTACCATACTTGTGTTTAAAGGTGAGAGTTTCTGGATATCGGGCATTATGACAAGATATTCCAAAACATCAAGATCACTTAAATTATGTAAGCATTTTACAACAAAAATAATGCTATGGAATTTCATTCTATTAACCATATCATCGTTTAATAGATCTTATGGATACTGGATGCAGGATTTGGCGGAAGGGGGTGCATAAGAGTAAACACAGTGGTGGAACATTTCATTTGAGAATGACTTCAGGTGCCCGGAAATCGCATTCTCATATCTAAAAATCTTAATGCAATACAATTATTTTTCTTAATGCAATTTAGAGAGGTGCGATCGCACCGTCTACACCACCACTACATCGGGATGCTATAATTCATACTTTGTTTTAGATTGGTTTATTACTCAACGATACGATTTTCGTGTATAGTGTGAAAGGCCGAGACGTGAAAGCTCCTTTCCTGGCCCTTGGCTGAAAGGAAGCAAACAGTGAAATGTCACCCCTAAATCAATTGGAATTGGCATACCACAGGGCAGTGTCTTAAGTTCAATTTTATTTTTGTTATTCATAAATAATAATGTTTAAAAATTTATTTTTCCTGGGATTTGCAGTATTTCTTCTGGTGATGTTGCTATTTACGTTCCAAGAACACAAGTTGATGGATTAGGCCTAAATACACAATTATAAATAATTTAGAAAATATTGGTAAATGGTATGTCGGAAATAAGTTGAAAATATATGCAGTTACGACATACGTCTGTAATAGTCCAGCAAACTTTTGTTGGTTGCATTTTTTTTTTGCTATATTTTAAAAAAATTGGATATGATGTAGAGTAGACATAGATATAATAATGTTTAAAAATTGATTTTTCCTGGGATTTGCAGTATTTCTTCTGGTGATGTTGCTATTTACGTTCCAAGAACACAAGTTGATGGATTAGGCCTAAATACACAATTATAAATAATTTAGAAAATATTGGTAAATGGTATGTCGGAAATAAGTTGAAAATATATGCAGTTACGACATACGTCTGTAAGCTTAAAGATTATAACATACGAAAATTGGCCGAACATTGCACGTCCAATTGCTGCTTATTACATAGGCCTAAGCACAATCGAACCATGTATCGATTACCGTATGCAATTTCGGTTTTGGAAAACACATCTGAGAAAAACATATTGTAAAAAGACTGCAACAACGTTCAGCAAGAATTATACTACAAAATTTTCATCACAAAAACTGTTGTGGCAAAAACATAATTCGACAGCTAATATCATGTTTAATGCGAAAATGTTATAGCATGCCCCACCCCCTTCTCGTTAATATAACGAAATTGAAATAATTTTCGATCGACATGGATATTCTAAGCTGAAACACTTTTAATGTTGTTGCACTATTGTAGTACCATCTCTCTTTCACTGTGATTTCCATCTAGTGTTCGAGTGACAATTTTTACAACAGACATAGGGTCAAGTCATACTGTAAGTAGTGACTATTTTTAACAATTTTAAATTATTAATTTGCAGTATTACATAAAGAACTACTCAATCCAGATTTGTATTATAGATATATTTATAGATCAGGACCCCCGTCGGGGGCCCACCCAGGTTCGATGAACCTGCTGAACCTGCGGTAGTTACGCCACTGACACAATGGAACATCATACTCAACACATTCTACAGTATTAATGTTCTACTCCAGTAGAATTACATTTTTGTTTCTAATTAAGGATCGTTATTTTAGGCCTAATATAGGGCCTACCATAATGACGTGTCCATTTGCACCAAAAATAATAAACCCCTCCCTCTAATAAACGCTTCCCTCGAACTTCTCAACATTAAACGTCCAGGGGTGTAATAAATAGGAGGCCTCATGTATGTTTTTAAGCTGTTGTCTTGTCTCCAGAATTCTTTATTTAAGTTTGGAGGCTTTAGTGTATTAACTCAAAGAAACAAATTACATATTGTGTTTTTTATGACAATGGATAGGCCTAAATGAATATTTTATCTACCACTTTAGGACGTATGGAAGTTGTTCTGGGTACAATTTCGGTTGTATGTACCCCTGGGATGAATCTACGACAATATACCCACGGTCCTTCGTTATCTAGCGGTCAGTAGCGTATCTCTGTCTCTTATACACATCTTATATATATATATGTATATATATATGTATATATATATATGTATATATAAATATATATAAGTATATATATATGTATATATATAAGTCAAAATCACGGTCAAGTAGTTAAAATCACATAAAATCACAATATTTTGCGAATTACCGCCCCTAACTGACCATTGGCCCCGGAGCCCCACTTCACCTTCGCCCCCCTCCCCATCAGACCCCCATTTAAGACTTCTAGACACGCCACTGCTAGCGGTGGTCTGTTCAGGAAGATGTAAAAAACGGTCTGATACTCACTCTGTCTCGCCTTCATAGCAATTGGTTGTTCGTTGGTGGACGTCGAATGACAAATTTTGTTGATACTGTGCGGCGGTAAGGAGGTGCTTGTTAAATGTAATCTTGGAAAGCCGTGCCTTGAAAACGCTTGCCATGCTAATATTTTGTTCTCTTTTATGTTCTTTTGTCTTATTATGTTATTTATAGTCATATTGTGGTGTGATCCACTAATATAGCTTAAATGGACAGAAATAAAGAAAAAGTATATATAAGTCTCATAGCCTTTATTAAGGCCACATAAATTTACAATAACAATGGGATTTTCATCTAATGCTTGTGACTAGAATATGCACTGATCACCATTGAACATTAGTTTTAAGCATGGCAAGATGCCATGTAAGTAATAATTAACTTATTCCTCCATGGATTTACAATTGTCTGTCACTTAGAATAATAGACAAATTAATTTGTAGTAGGCCCGGTTCTTCCCTTTTTTGGCCCATTGAAGAATTAGAGTCAGTTATCAGTCAAAATGAAATGAAGCGGTTCAATCAAATATAATACATTAATAATCAAATAAATAAATAAATAGTGTAAGTAAACAATTTGAAAAAGGCACGCAAATACAAATCAAATCTTTCAACAAAACCTTATACACGACGGTTACGTCGGCAAATTAAGTAACACTCAGGGGACCAAAACACAGTGCCTAAACGAGAAATACTCTATCAATATTTTTATTTTACAGAACCCCCAGCCAGTAGGCTTATAATTTTAATAATTTAAACTTTTCTAGTCAGGATAAAAAGGTTTTGATACGTTGTACAATTGATTTTTTAAAAGAAACAAAAAGGGTACTTAAAAGATTGGTAAAGGTTAAGATTCAGATTTCTATTTAAAAACTGGGGGAAGTTGGAAAAAAGGGTGGTCATATTCAAAAATCTGTTTGATTAATACTCCGGAAAGGTCCATTATAGTTTTTGGACGCTTTGGTTAAAACCACATTTACACTAGATACAGATGCGCGCAGTGTTGAAGAATACAAACTACCGTACTCGCGCAAATAGCGCCCCGTTTGAATAAGCGCCCCTCGATTCCTAAAAAAATTCAACCATACAGTACAATTATACAATTTTCTGCATCAACTATTCGCATCTACTGCATCTTAGCATTGCCGGTCGGTCGGTCGGTCAGTCCATCTATCCATCTGTCTGTCTATCATGAGTCTCCATTAGGTTTAACATGGTTTTCAGTTTTGATGCATCTTTAGATTGTCGTTCTTGTTTTATTGATACCCTTTTTAGATTTAGAACTACAGTATTTAATATCTAAAAATTAAGATACTACTGTATGACCATTTTCAGTCAAAAAAAAAAACAAAAAAAAAAAAAAACCCCCCCAAAATGATCCTGCTAATCCTAATTGGCAGATGGCCAACACGCTTACCACCACCACCAACACACTACCTAATTTCATCTGCTGTTGTGTAAATACCCCAACATTTATGAGCCATAATCTCTCGACGATTACATTTTCTTCACCAAAACCATTCGTTTATCTTCGATTAAATTTCCCATAACCACCCCTTCAATTTTCATCTATTTCTATAAGTGCCCCTTAATTTCCACTCTGTTTTCATAAGCGCCCGTTTGAATAAGCGTTATCGTGTCTAGTGTGAATCTAGCGTAAGATTTGTTTTAGTTTTTTTCTTTTTGTATTATTCTTCTTGTATATTAAATGGAAAGCAATAAAACCTTTTAAAATCAAAATAATGAATAGGTCATTTTTAAAAGATAAAATATAAAATAGTTTTCGCTAATTTGAACATTTTACTAAAAAATCCTTGACTACCAGGCAGTCAATTTATTGTCTATGAATACAGCAAAGAACTTTATTTTCTCATTATTAAAATTAAAAACTGAAGTAATAATTATGCATCGTATTTATTCGAATAAACGCCCCCTAGAGCCTCACTTCGTTTATTTTTCCTCGAATAAACGCTCCCCCACACCCCTAAATGACACAAGCTTCACAATTCTCAACACATTCTATTAGTTTTCTACTCCAGCAGAATTACATTTTTTAATAATCTGGTGTGGATCAGTAACGTAATAACACATTATTTGAGTATATAGACTACGTATCAATTTTACACAATTAAACCATTTTCAACAATAGGCGCCATTATTCAATAAATACGGTATATAATTTAATTTCTCAACTTTTTAGCTCATAACAGACAGTTTAATGTCCATTTGGTACTGCTTTGTTCCTGGTGTCATTCACCTTAGGATATTTTTCGACATTAGTTAATTATGCAAAAATGCATATTTACTGTAGGAATATATGGTATTCTTCCGGGAATATTGTTTAAAAAACATACATCCCGTGATGTTTCTGATTTGAAGACTTTATTTTCTTATTCCTTGACAACTAAGAGTAACATAAGCCTCTTTAGATTCAAATATTTTACGTTACAGAGAGCAGTATAGCTAGGAGTAAGTATCTTGATTCATACACCACTATCTCAGCAAAAGTAAATTCGATTTCAGCACTCCAACAAGTAGAACTTACTTAGAAGCAATAGAATTATTACCCATGCCACTGTCTGTCTGTGAGTAAGATTAGCAAAAACTAAGGAATGGATCATTATAAAATGGAATGGTACATAATAATCTAAGAAAAAGATTATTAACTTTTGGGAAGAAAAGGTAAAAGGAAAAGGTCAAGGAAATTTGTTTTTTTTCTTTGAACTCACGAGCTCGAGCATAAAAGAAAATAATTAAATTGGCCATACATAACTGCATATTATAATAATGGTTGAATTATAAAACGCATATTGTGGAGACCTCTATGCACTTTACGTTACTGTATTAACCCCCGGTCGTTGGATCAAGCACATATGCAACTTACTCAGGTCCCTAGGGGAGAATTCCATAATGTTGCAGCTGTAATCAGCACATTTCGTGTTTTAATTTACCAGGAAACCAACTTGCACTCACGGGTGGAGAGAGACCACCATAGGTAAAGTGCCTTGCCTGAGGACACAAAGCGAAATGCACAGCAAGGGATAAAACGTCTGATACCCCGGAATCCAGGTACAGGGTGGAGTTATGCACTCTACAGAGTGACTGTTCTAGTTGAACATGAAACCAAACATTTTCATTGGTTGAGTGAATACTCAATGAGTCTTTTATACATATTTTTTTCATGTTTATTTGACTTCAAACCTTTCAAGCGTTGCACCAGCAACATGCCTTTTGTAACAAATAATGTCTCAACAATCTCTTTACCATGAAACATATACAATCATTATACAGTATTATACAATAACTATGGCAATTTTTTTGGTTTGTTTTTAAACAAATAATTATAATGAAAGAGATAAAAATAGATGGTGAACTATTATAATAATCTCAGTTTATATTTATTGTTAGTTTTCATAACAATAATTACACTACAATACACAAAATTTTTTTTAAAGTAAATGTGTGGATTTTAATCTTGTATACAATATTTTTAAATATATATAAAATGGTTTGCAATATTTCCAACAATAATGATTATTACAGTTATTGTACATCTAGGTTGAGAACCCTTGTGGGTGGAATTTCTAACTCCTGATTGACTCGTGAGTTGATGTACTGATGAAGTAGCATCCTCAACTCTGCATTCTGTTGCTGGTAAGACTCTGTCTCTGTTATAAGCTTGGAGCGTTCTGTCAACACATTGCTGTTGTGAAAAAAAAATGAGAATTAAAATATGATAAAAAATACTGTATACCATAATAAAAATAATAAACACATTTTAAAATTAACAAGCTATTAAAGATGTATTGTCCCATGCAAAATACCCCAAAAAATCATTTTTAAAATTAACTTGATAATTTTTAAGTAACATAAAAATTAGTGTATTTAAAAAACATTTACCCATAATTTCACAGTTCCAGACAATGGGTGTTTTATTATTTTTTGTTATCATCATTCAGTTAAAAAATCAGGGTACACATTGTTTAAATTCAATAATTTCTATTCTTACTTTCTTATGTTACTAGAAAATGAGCAAATTAATTTCAATTAAAAAAAAAGATTTTTGTCATTGTTAGGGGACAATACATCTGTAAGTGTAAAAGCACAGGGATGTAGTTATAGTGGGCGGGGGGCACCCAGCCTTCAAGTTTTCCACCCAGTCTAAAGCTAATTTCATGGCCTTCCACCCACCCTTATTAACCCACTTTTCCATCCTTAAAATTCACTCGTATTATCTAGAGTTTACCAATGTTATCATGCACCCGCCCTCAAAATATCTATCCCCACCCTTAGTTTTCATTAGCTACAACCCTGTAACAGCATACCTATAGCGCTCTAATCCATCCAGTAATGCTGTCCACACTTTTTCTTTTTGTTCAGAAAGAACAGTTGGGAAGCAGGCCCAGTACTCAGCATCTTTACTATCATCTCTCTCCTCAGCAGAAATTACATTAAAGGTCTGCTGCTTCTGTTTTTCTCTGAAAAGTAAAATACATGTAGCTTTTTGTAAATTTATTCGTTTCATTTTTAGATATTTAAATATCATTAATCATCCTTATAAGTAATAATTAGCGAGTTTAAATTTAACAGCGTGTTACTGGCCACTTACAGGGCAGAATCAAGTGGCATATGTAGGGGGGGGGGGTGTCAAGTCTCCCCCTTTGAAAATGTTTGAAGCAAAACATGATGCTCAAGTAGTTAAAAATCAACTCATATCAACATGTGCAAAGACAAGCCAAACCAGTCACTTGTCGCAAAAATTGATTTTTAGTTATTAGTACAGGGTTAAACAAGAGCTATAAAATGGTAAAAGAATAATTTAAATCAGACATTTTGTTATGAAGTTAGAAGCATTTAAACATACAGCTGTTTAAAATATTTGAGAAATCAGCCTTCAAAAATTATGATTTTGGGCATTTCTCAGGCAGAGGCCATCACCAAATTGTTAAAAATTGATGCTTTAACATTGAAAATGGAGAAAATAACAGCATATCATGATGTATAGATATATAAAAGTTGGTTTAGTGCAATAAAATAAATCCCAAAAATATTGACATTTCAGCATATTTTGGCCATTATCTCTGAAACACGATTTGTGAGGAGTGACTGGTTTGCCTTGTCTATGCCACATATTTTAAGAGCTAGATATACTATAATATAACTAATTATAAGAAAAGTAAAATAAAGCATACTTGCTAGGCTGCCGATGGTCCTCAACAAAAGCTCTTAAAGCACGCACCACATCATTTGGATGGATGAGTTCACTAACATTGGATCTAAAAGATCGCATCGACGCAACATCATCCTGTTTCATGCCAATCACCGCATCATCTTCTTCATTTCCCTATTGTACAATGAGTAATTCTTAATGTAATTGGAAATCAAGTCAAGTTACAATGATAATAACTATAATAAAGTTATAAAACATTAATATTATAAAAAAGTTGTATGAAATAAAAACACTGGTAGCACTTTATAAACTACCTTTTTATTTATTACGCAAGCTTTTGCTAGCAGTGTATGATGGCTTCATAAGGTGCAGTCAAAAAAAAAAAAGATAATAATAGTATACCAAAAAAAATTCTTTACTTTCTTTCTGACTTCTACTTGTCTTTAATTTATATTCGGTTTAGTGATACTGGTGCTTTATAAATACATACGATTGTTTATAGAATATTAAATCATAAGTCTGTTGCCATAGTTAAAATGAAATGAAAAGGTTACAACATGTATAAAATACTGTATGACAAAAAACAACCAATAAAACATCAAATAAATCTGAAGTGGAGTTAGATAACTTGTGGGTACTTGCCTTCCAATCCCAGGGTCCTGGGTTCAAATCCTGGTAACAGGATTTTTTTCTCAGGACCAAAAATAACTCCACTCCTTAAGACTCATAATGAGACGTAGTTTATGTAGAGCATCTTGCGTTTGTCTTGTTAAGAGATTTGCTGCTTAGAAAAGTGATTAAGTTCCCTGCTTGGCATATCCTTGGCCCTAAAGTTCTGTCCAGACTATCAAATTTTATTTGACAATAAAACATACGACAATAAATCATATGACATGTCTAAATATGGGCATGATGACATCACATCATGACCATATATAGGCACATCATAACTATATATGAGCATATGAAAATTTGATAATCTGGACCTGACTTTAAACAAATAATAATATAAAATAAAACCTTTTCTTGGCCAGTAATATCGTGACTAGCAGCATCATCGTCCATTGAAACCTTTTTCTCAGACAAGATGGAGACTCGTTTTGTGAACGTCTGCTGATCTGGCTCAACAGGTGTCTGTTGACCTTCAGGGGGATGCACAGCAGATGGCTCAATGGCAGGTGTACCAAGGGCTTCCAGCGGATGAAGTGGTTCCGTTTCCGGATCATGTCGTGTTGCAATGAAATACTGGACAAGGTTGTGGATGTCATCTTCTGTTTCAATATTTAGAGCCTGATGAAAAAAAAAAGATTTACCATTTCAGATCAAAATCCATAAAGCCACTGATAAGTAATGAGCTAAATATCAGCAAGAAAAATTATTGAAACATAAACGTAAGTGATTGATAATGACTGATTGATTGACATACAGCAAATATTGCATCCAGTTTCATCAGTGATCTCTCATCTCTTTCAAGAGGCAACAGGAGTTTGTTAAGTTTGGCTTCAACTAGAAAACCCTGCAAAAAAAAACAAAAAAAAAAACAACATAATTTATCAAATTGCTAGTTTCTACTAAAAAGGAAGATGTGAGAGATTGGGACAGTAAAGCAGTTAGTCAGATGGGTGGGAAGGGGGATCACAGAGGTTGTTACAGGGGTGCATTAAACAGAGCAGTTCATGAGAAGGGTCGAAAGGGGAGAGCTTGGCAATTAGTAGAGGGGAGTGTGAATAGGGTGGGGAGTGGTAGGGATGAGGTGAGAGGGGTAGTAAATAATCGAACATTTGTAGAATAATGTTGCCAGCGTATTTGGAAACGTACTGAGAATTCAATACGATAACACATCAGGTAGGGCAAAACATAACTCCAATGTAGGAGAAACAATGATAATAATAATATTTTAGAATTTATATAGCACTCTTTACAAACAATCAAAGCAAATTAGGTGATATAAATGAAATATAAATATAGATGATCTTAAAAAATTATGTAGAACTTTCAATGCACTTCATTCATAATATTGCCAGTTGACAAGTTACATTTTCTGCAAGAATTTCCTATTAATATTACAAAACTTTCTTTTTTATAATTTGTTATTATTTACTTAATATTATTTATTATTATTTATTTACTTTGAGTCTTGAATAAATAAATACCTACAGACTCATCGCATATTAGCTCTAAGACACGCTTGATGGTCTTAACCGACAATTTAGAATCTTTCACAGCATCATCCAAGCCGCCTTCTTCATCATCTTCCTTTGTCTGCATCTGGCTGTGCAACGAACTAGTGTCACTCTCTCCTCTCTGACTGCCATCTGCCGACATGACCTCCATCAAGACTTGTTGGGCTGACACAGACTTCTGTTGTGTTTTTGCAGATATCAACGGACCAGTATTATCCATGAACGATCTGTAAAAAATCACAGAATAATATTAAGTAAATTTAAAATTTCAACTGTGGAGACAGTGTAAAAAATCTAGCATTGCAGTAAAATATTTTGTATAAAGAAAGCTTTGATAACTTTAGAACTTACAAGTCCGGTGATTTCCAGGCTAGGCCTAGCTGGTGCTCCATGATAATGCGGTCTTGTTCTAGCACCTTCTTTGCCTGCTCTTTCACAAGGCCCTCATTCATCAACCAGATGTCTTGGAATTTACGTGTATCAGTTGCCTGGAAGTGTCTAGAAATAATAAAATCAAAAACAACATAGTGAGTGACAGATAGTACTAAGAAGTCAACCAATCGAATCTTTTGCCAAGATACAACAAAACTCAATTGGAGTAATGATTTGAATGCTATAATAGATTTTTTAATAACTTTTATAAATGATAATTAATATCATACTTTGATTTTTTCTGTAGTTCTTTGAACTGTTCCGTGATTCTTTTGTAATCATCAGCAAGCGCTTGGTTTTCTTCGCGGTACGATTTCTCCTGTTTTGCTAGCTTCATTTTTAAGTTGTTTAAAACATCTTGCAATCTGTTATAAAAAAAAAAAAAAAACAGCATGGAAGAAGTGAATATTTTTATTCTTCAATATTAACACTGATTTTTTTTTTGGATTGGATTGGATTTATTCAGTGTAAACACCAAGGATAGCCCACGAAAGTCTATAAGAAGACTTATTTCCAGTGGGGTCCTTCTGGTGGTGATTGGACAGTACACCGGGAGACAATCCCCTACTCTTTTCCGAAGAGTGTACTCCGTTCTTTAACGTGCACATGGGCCATAAATGCACACGGGACCAACGGCTTAAAAATCTCATCCGAAAGACGGTGCGCTATTGTATCTTGTATTTCAGCCCTCTAGCTGAAACACAAGGAGAGGCAGCGATGGGAATTGAACCGGGGACCTAGAGATCTCCACGTTTCAGCGCACACACAGTGGCTACCACCAGATTTGCCGACTGAGCTAAGCTGCTCTCTCACACTGATGAACAATAATAATAATAATAATAATAATAATAATACAAATTTTAATAATTCCAAATTGAACAATGATCAAAGGCGCAGTGTACGCTGGAACTAGTTGTTAAATAAATGAGTTTTCAGGGAAGATTTAAATGCCGAGATAGAATTAGATGATCTTACTGAAAAAGGTAGATTGATTCAGAGACCAGAAGCAGCAGCCGTAAGTTTTAGTATTATATGATGGAATGGAGAGGTGGTTTTGGGAGAGGAGTGGAGGTGAAGATTACATTGAATTGAATTGATGTCAGACAATGGTTGGTTGATATTGTAGACTGTCGAATATGATATGATGATGAAGAGGATGGCACAACACACATTTCATATTTAAACTTAGTCTAATTACCTTGTAATTTTTCGCTTTTGTTGTGATTTTGTGATGGTATTTTCTTCATCCCGCTTTTTTAGAACCTGGAAGTTATATTCTAGCTTTTCTTGATTCAACTGGTAAGTAGCTTTCATTTGTTGAAGTTGCTGTTCCAACACCTAGAGACAAATAATACACCTAGAGATACTTAATAGGTTCAATATAATACAGTAATATAGAACCAACAATGATTTCTTCATAACATTTTCCATCTTTCAAAAAATGCAATTTCCACAATTTGTTTCCATTTTATGGTTTATGGTTTTATATTTATATAGCGCCTTCCACGATCGAAACCGTCTCAAGGCGCTTGAAAAATATATGTGAATAATGTATGGAAATAAATTTGACCGGAAATAACCTAAACTAACCAAACAGAATAACCGACAAAACAGATAAAAAATAGAATCACACATCATCACACCGTTTCATTGACCGACTAAGGCCGGTCAGCTATTGATTTCACAGGTGTCATAATGATGTGTGTAACTAAATATTGGCCTATCGAGCAACGAAAATGAACGAATGTGAGTGGTCTATAGTGAGTTATAAAGATGAGTTTTAAATCGGCTTTTGAAAATCCCAGTTGAAGGTGCCTGGCGTACATAATCGGGCAGGCTGTTCCAAAGCTTAGGGGCAGCAACTGCAAATGCTCGATCACCATAAGTTCTGAGACGACTTTGGGGAACTTTAGGGCAACACAGTCTATTTGTCATCACAAAAATAAGCAGTTTATTTTTCTATCATTGCAAAAAAAAAAAAAAAAAAAATCCAAATAATGATGGACACACAATTAAGCCCCAAATTTATAAAAATAGCAACTTATCTTTAAAATACACAGAAGCAGCCCAAAAAAGTCACAAATGTATTAATGGAATACAAAAATAATGAAGAAAATATTGGAATTATTTTTACCTGTACATCTGTTTCCAGCTTTATTTTCACCATGTTGTACTCCTCTGCATCTTGTCTCCTGAGGTGCTTTATTTGTTGTTCATAGTCCTCCACCCGTTTATCCCTCTGTTTCATATAATCTACTTCTTGTTCTCTCCGTCCTTGCATTCCCTGATCCCACTTTTTCTTATGGTTGTCCAATAGTTCCATTCTTTCTGTTTCAAATGCTTTCTGCAAATGTAGACAAATTTTATAAATAAATATATATATACAATGATTTAAATTGCAAACAAATAACAATATTGAATATGATGTTAATATTAACTATAATAAAATAAGTTACAAAAAAATAACAAATAAAACAAAAATACATTGATAATAAATAAAATAACGTTAATAATAATATCAATATTGTAAATAAAAGCAATATTCTTGTTTTATATAATACCCAGCATATAATACCCAGCAACAACTTCACACATATACCCCTTTTACACTGCAAGCAAAATTCCGGACGTAACCCGGGATTTTCGATTACCCGGGTGAAAATCTCCCGAGTTCTGGTTAGTGTAAACGTCAAAAAGTCCTACTCGGGTTATCAAATCTTCCGGGATGGACGTGCGGGACACATTCAGCGTAGGGCAGCCCGGGTACAACAAGGTTACAACCCGGAGTCGCCAGTGTAAACAGCACCGAATTTGATTCCGGAATTAGGCCTTACCTGGTGCCTACCGCAGCAGTGGTCAGGTAGGCCTAAACTTTGCTAACAACAGGCTAGGCCTAGACACTTGTCAAATTAAACCCTCTACGCTCCGGTATAGACATGATATTAAAACTGCTGATTTAATTCGCATAATTTAAAAACAATATGCAGGTACATTGCTTCGATATTGACAATTTATTGTGGCTTTGTGACGACGAGGAACTCGAGCGAAGTGATGAATACCATCACAACAAAAACTGAGGGCGGTATTTGAACCCGGGTTTGTTGCCAGTGTAAATGGGAACAACTCGGGATCAACCCGGACTTTTTCGTTCGATGTAAATGGGAAATGCACCCGGGATTACTCCGGAAGTAACCCGGGTCGATTCTGCCTTTGGCAGTGTAAAAGGGGTAATAGAGATATAATGAGAATTCAAGAGAACTCCAATGCATTTGATGTTCTCAATTTAAGATGAAAGTTTTGAGTACAGCCAAGTTGCTAATATGTTACACTTGAGTGTGTGATAGTCTCGACAGGTCTTTAGTTGTGTCAAGCACAATATAAATACTGACCTATCATTATCATTACAAACCTCAATTTGAATGAGTTCGTCCCGATATGCTCTTGTTAAATTCTTAATTTGTTCCTCCATCCTTTCGATCATCAGGTCTGTGTCTTCTGCCTGCTTCTTTAAATCCTTTACATACTGATCGTCTTTGGATTTCAGTTCCTATTAACAAGGGTAAGTTTAGAAATTGAATTTCAGTAATAATAATTATAATAAAAACAACGAGTCTTGTAATGTATGTCAGAAGGAAAGTAAAGAAAGAAAAGAAATTAGAAAAAGTAAATAAAGAAGGAAAGAATGAAGAGATGAAATAGAAAAAGAAATATAAAAACAGATATAATATTAATAATAATAACAATAATAATGATAATAATAACAACAGTAATACCAGTAACAATAATACCCAATGAAATTAATATGAATGTTATATATTACCATTTGGAAGTCATTGATGAGTTTGTTCTTTTCATCAATCATGGCATCGCACAGAGCCCTCTGAGAGATCAACACCTCATGTAGTTCTTGCGGGATGTCTTTCCCATTGGCATTTTCCCACTTCTTTGTAATTTCATCAAATTTTTCAACAGCAGCTTTGGCTTCAGCCTCTAATCTTTCTAGTCTAAATCAGAACAGTAAGGATGTAATAACAATCTCAATTTAAGATGAAAGTTTTGAGTACAGCGAAGTTGCCAATATGTTACACTTGCGTGTGTGTTAGTCTCGACAGGTCTTTAGCTGTGCCAAGCACAATATAAATACTGACCTATCATTATCATTACAAACCTCAATTTGAATGAGTTCGTCCCGATATGCTCTTGTTAAATTCTTAATTTGTTCCTCCATCCTTTCGATCATCAGGTCTGTGTCTTCTGCCTGCTTCTTTAAATCCTTTACATACTGATCGTCTTTGGATTTCAGTTCCTATTAACAAGGGTAAGTTTAGAAATTGAATTTCAGTAATAATAATTATAATAAAAACAACGAGTCTTGTAATGTATGTCAGAAGGAAAGTAAAGAAAGAAAAGAAATTAGAAAAAGTAAATAAAGAAGGAAAGAATGAAGAGATGAAATAGAAAAAGAAATATAAAAACAGATATAATATTAATAATAATAACAATAATAATGATAATAACAACAGTAATAGCAGTAACAATAATACCCAATGAAATTAATATGAATGTTATATATTACCATTTGGAAGTCATTGATGAGTTTGTTCTTTTCATCAATCATGGCATCGCACAGAGCCCTCTGAGAGATCAACACCTCATGTAGTTCTTGCGGGATGTCTTTCCCATTGGCATTTTCCCACTTCTTTGTAATTTCATCAAATTTTTCAACAGCAGCTTTGGCTTCAGCCTCTAATCTTTCTAGTCTAAATCAGAACAGTAAGGATGTAATAACAATGTAAAAGTGTAACAATGTAAAAATGTAACAATGTAAAGCTCGAAACATACAGCGTCAGTAGACGGTTGCCAAATGTAAAAGTGCTTTGTGTGAGCACTTGTCTATTGTGATAGACTACAATACGCTGTCTTGACATAATCTTAAATATGGCTTAAATATAAAAAAAAATAAGCTATATGCTTTTGTTAAAACCGTTTTGTTAAATGAGTAAACATTTTTTTTGTTCTCCATTTAAGTATACTCTTGTCTTGGTTTTTTAATCTACTGTATATCTCTTTCATATACTATGAAACTTTTTTTGTTATCAAAAAATACTTTAAAAACATACCAGTAATAATATATTTGTATTGTTTTTATTTTTGTAATTAATCATCTCAATATATTTTCTTAAAGAATTTCATCTGGCTTCAACTATAATGAATAAAGTGGTTGTTCTTTAAAGAAACATGGGCTGGTAAGTTCCATTGTACAATTGGCTTATCTTTTAAAGAACAACCATTTTATTCAACAGATTTTATTATGCAATGATGATTCAATAAAATGTATTTCATACCAGAATATAATATCAGCAGTAACATAAACGGTTCAGTGTAGTGACAAAAATGAATAATATTAAAATATCATTATTTTGATTTTATTTTTTTAAACTTTTCCTATTTTACATTGTGATGCGCATAGAGATCATGACAATATGGGCCTTATCAGTCCACCATGTTACTATTATTAAAAGGATCATAGACTAGTTTTTATTAAATTATTTATTATTTACCTCTGTCTCGTATTTTCTTCTTCATCATTTCTCCTTTGTGCCTCCCTTGAGTCAGCTGCAACCCTAACATTGCTTACCAATTCATTTCCATCTGATTTCAACTTTGTTAACCTCTGTCAAAAATGTACATGTATCTTTTGGTTATTTGGGGTGTGAAAGAAGTATAAATGCTCAAGATGACCACATTCAAATGGTTACCTTCTCAGGTGGCATTTTTTCTGTTCACTCCTATTCATAATCAAAATACATTACAGATAAAATGAAAGTGGCATCCATTCACAAGACAAATTCAGGAGTGGAGTTGTTTTTGTTGTGAGAAAAAATAATGTTACCAAGACAGGAATTGAACCCAGCACCCTGGGATTGGAAGGCAAGCATCTTAACAATCAAGCTATTCAACTCCAATCACCTTATCAACAACCTCAGTAAAGGGTTACAGGTACTCTTTGATCAATGACCCCATACATTAGGACATATACATATTTTGGTCAACACTGTTTGAAATGGGATTTTTTGAGATAATGTGAGATTGGTGAAACACTGTTTGAAATGGGATTTTTTGAGATAATGTGAGATTGGTGAAATGTGGGTGATGAATTTTTAAAACTTGTTTTCCCCTATAAAATTAATTGTGTTCTATATTTTAATTGCCTGATAACACTTCATTTGAATTTTAAATAAATGTGTGTAGCGATTGTTGTAAATTTGGTTTACTATCCTTTCAAGGTTATCTTACCTGTCTGCTTTCTTCTACCTGCTTCCTGCTTTTGCTTTGTTCTTCCTTGTCTTCCTTTTTCTTTGCATTTGGATCTTCTCCTAGGGCTTGTCTACAACATAGAAAATGCTTTTTGAATAACATGTGGATGTAATAGAACACACTATATTTAATGAGAAAGACTGGGCTACTAAAGCACTTCACTGAGGGTGTAAAGTGATTTGACGAAGAGAAGTAGGAAGGCCCAGTAACGTCATGATGCGGTGTGCACCAGGATAGCACAAACAACGAGCAGAGGACCCCTTAGAGGAATACATTTTAGGATAGTTCTTTGTTTTGTTTTCAATTTGTCTGCCTTGTTCAAGTGCTATGAGATAATTGTGTGAAGTCGCATTCAGCCTAGGCCTACTATATTATTATAATATAATAATAATATAAACAAAATTATAACTGTTTACAAAATACAAAAAAAGACTTATTAAAATTTACATATATATATATATATATATAAATATATATATATATATATATAGGCCTATATATATATATGTAGAATATAATATAACGTAACAGTAAAGGAACTCAAATACGTAAGATGTTGACTTTAGAAACACTAAAATAATAATATAAACAAAATTATAACTGTTTACAAAATACAAAAAAAGACTTATTAACATTTATTGTAGTGTTTCTAAAGTCAACATCTTACGTATTTGAGTTCCTTTACTGTTACGTTATATTATATTCTACATATGTTTCGAAACACACGTGGACACGCCTTCTTCATATATATATATATATATATCGAGAGAGTCTGTCTCTTATACACATCTAGATGTGTATAAGAGACAGTCTCAGAGTCACGCACGGCCACAACAAGCCTCACCTTTTTGCGGCTTCGATTCGTTTCTTTATCCGTATCCTTCTCGCTGCAATGCGCTCCTCTTGATCGTTAGAATCAACAGATGGACCTTGGTCCTCTTCTTCATCATTAACATTCATTTTTTAATACCAGTCAGAATAGAAATGTTAAATTAAACTCTTTTTCTAATCCACTACTGAGTGAGCACCAAAACATTTGATGACCACACACTGTATTTACAAGCCAGTTACAAGCCTAGGGTTGCTAAGCTGCCATACGCATGCGCGTATATAGACGTTTATGTCCATGCGCTTTAATGTTAATACCTAGACGTTAACTAACCATACGTTCAGTGGTGTAGCCTTTTCAACGTCCAACATGGCGGTGAGTGGTGTTGTTGTTTGTACCGATGTAATTAATCCTAATCAATCGAGAAGATTAACATATATTAGTTTCCAAATTTTACATAAATATACAATTTAAGATAATAAGGAAATCAGCTGTTGTTAAATTTGTCTGATAATGTGTAATGTTGATATAGAAAATGTGCCATTGCAATGGTGTTTCTTCTGAAATGGCAAATGCAATGTTGGGAAGAGAATTTCCCATCTCTTCTATATAAACATCACGTAAGCCTAGCCTAGGCCAATCTAAGTCGAACTACAAACATGATGAGTAGGCAGCAAGCACTCTATCCGCTCCATCTAGCCTACTGTTAGTAGCTGAGAAAATGTAGACTTGTCGGGACAAGTCTACTAGGCCTGTCTTACTTATGACAGTAGACAGTACGTTATGCCTAGCCTCTAGCTAGGTAGGCTAGCTAGGCCTAGGCTTAATGATTTTTTAGTAGGCCTAGGCCCGAGGGGTCGGGTGCAAAAGAAAGCTTAAAGGCTAAGCTTAAATTGCCCTTGCAACTCAACTGTGACCCCAACTAGACTATTTGCCGGGAGCGACAACATTGACTTTTACTGACAATTGCGCAAATACAAACAAGCAACTAAGTCTAAGTAAGGTAGAATTCAATTAGTTGCCCAGCCCAGAGCAGAGCACTTTTTTAGCAGGTGTCCTGAGTCTCCCGAAAGTTGTGGGAGTCTCTAGGAAAATGGGGCCGCATTCTGTAGTGTAATTAAGCATAAATCTCCTGGAAACTCACCTGTGTCCTGCGAATTCATGATATTTTGTATTCCGGAAGTCTGTCCTTGTTGGGTAATACTATGCGCAGAAAAAGATGATTAGTTGTGGTGATCGGAGTGCTCATGCAAGTCTCAGTTGCTAGTTGGTTGCTTACACGCAAGTCTCAGTTGCTGAGAGTTGCTAGTTGGTTGCTTACACGCAAGTCTCAGTTGCTGAGAGTTGCTAGTTGGTTGCTTACACTTGCTGGCAAGTTGCCAAAAGTGTTGATGTCAGTTAAACCGAGTAGCAAAGGGCAACTTAAGCTTACCTTTGGTGTAAGAAATTTAGTAGAAACTTTCTGCTTAACCATACCAATGATTAGATTGTAGGCCTAGCCAAGTCTGGTCCAATCATACTATGTACACAAATAGATTATTTTCAGGTTACCTGCTTTAACACAACAGTACAGTATTGTTAATTAATTTAGCTGTTCTGTAATGCAGAGACAACATACAGAATTTGCATGAAATTTGGCCCTTATTTTTAAAATGGGCTGACATATTTCTATTACTACCGCTTAGTATGGCCTAATTTCCGCATGTCACAAATATTTTCAATAGATTGCAAAATAGGCTTGACTGAAATTACTGTACAGATACAAATGACAATACACTGCCTGATATAGGTTAACTCTCCTGTACCCAGAATTTGGGGGTACAAATTGTAAAATGATTGAGCTGTTATAAGAAAATCCATCTTAACTTGAATGCTTTAAAATTTTTTTTTTTGTAGGATAAAGGGAATGAGAAAGTGAATGTAATGCGCGAGCTGCGCATTCGCAAACTGTGTCTCAACATCTGTGTTGGCGAGAGTGGTGACAGGCTGACTAGAGCTGCTAAAGTGTTGGAACAACTCACTGGACAAACCCCTGTATTTTCTAAAGGTATCTGTAAAAATATTAAACACAATTATGAACAATAATTTGTGGTGGTTGATTGCAAGTAGCTAGCACGCTATTGTGAATACTATATGCAAGACCTTTTTAATACTTCCATGAATAATGGAAATTTCGCGGGAGGTGGGGAGGGGGAATTATTTTTATTATGGCCTCTACTCCCCTAAAATCTCAAGATATATATAATTAAAAAAATTCATCGGTTTTTATTAGGTCTTTGATTTGAAATTCCTTTTAATGAAACATAAATTTTTTGCTGACTACCAGTCAGCAACATCAGTACAAATGTGGCTTGGTTAATACTACTTTCTTCAGTCGATGTAAGTTGACTTCCCACCCAAGGGGTGGAGCGAGTTCTACTTTGAAAACTGGTGACGCCATTCCTTCCTAATTATATACAGTATTATAAATTTAAAGCATATGTCAATCTCATTACTACACTGTTGACATTCATCAATACATTTTATTTTTATTTTCTCTGCCTAGATGCTTTGGCAAAATCATTTTGCTGAGTAAGGAAACATAATTTAATTTTTATTTTTTTATAGTGATATTGGGCTGTCTGGGAAAATCCTCTCCAACCTGTTTGCACAGAGGCATACTGTTATTTCAAATTGTTGATCTTTACAGAATTTTAAATTTTCTGTGCTAAAATAACTTCTCTTCTGCAACTCATGATCATTGACCATAATGATTGTGTTACAAACTAAGAGAAACATTTATTAAAGTGTCTATAAGATTACAATTTTTGTCTCATTCTAAAGAGATAGTTACATTCAACATGACCTGTTTTATCAGGAATCTTATTTTATAGAGGACATTAAAAATTTTTCATGTTCAGATTTTATTCCTGATTCTATAATTCATTTAAATCTTTCCATTTAATTCTAATAATAGGTATAGAATTTTTTTTTATCACACTATTGATTATTAATGGTTATTTTACTGTTTATATAATTGCAGCCCGTTACACAGTCAGATCTTTCGGTATCCGCAGAAATGAAAAGATCGCTGTTCATTGCACAGTTCGTGGTGCAAAAGCAGAAGAAATCTTGGAGAAGGGACTCAAGGTACTTCAGTTCTTTATAATCCATTCAACATAGTAAACAGACTTTTCCAATTTCATTGATCGTTTCTAAAATTTTAAGTATTTCCAATTCAAGATGTTAATTTTGCAACTGTTGGGGAGAAATACCTTGCCTTGCATTTCGCTTGTGTTTTTGAATATGGAGTATGGACCATGAAAGCACCATGTTAGTTTTGCAGTGGTTAATTATATATGGGGCTTGCCAAGTCAAATCTAGCATCAGTGAGAAAAACAAGAAAATTGACTTTCTAATATATAATCACATCCTCCACATTATAAGTTTTAAAGTGATAGGACATTTACTGGCATCAACTTTCTATTGCCAAAGATAAGAGTAAAAGTATTAGGTCTCCTCTGTCCTGAAGTATACAGTACTCTCAAATTCTTATGCTTATTACTCAGTTTAACATGTAGCAATTGTACACTGGTTTTGGGTTGGCAAGTATCACATTAAGTGTTTATAATGTGTGTTTATATATCAGTAGTTATTTTTTTTATTTGATCCTAGAATATGTAACCATCAGTCCTTGTTTTGGTAGGTTCGTGAATATGAGTTGAGAAAAGGAAACTTCTCTCAGACTGGTAACTTTGGTTTTGGCATCCAAGAACACATTGATTTGGGTATCAAATATGATCCAAGCATTGGTATCTACGGTATGGACTTCTACGTTGTACTTGGACGACCAGGATTCAATGTGCGACATCGCAAGAAGAAGAGGGGTCGCGTCGGACCAAAGCACAATGTATCTAAAGACGAATCAATGAAATGGTTTCAACAGAAGGTAAATTATAGTAGTAGTAGTACTTTTTTCTTCTTTTTTTGATATGATTTTTTAGTTGTGTACATCATTTCCTAAATCAGGGGTACCCAACTGGCCACCTGTGGGTAAATTTCACCCCTCGTGTGCATGATATCTGGCCCGCTAGAACCAGACTAAAATGACCAATTTGTGTGATTAAAGAAATGCATTTAGGCACAAACCATGTTACGGAAAGCTCCATTAGAAATTTAATAGTAAAATAGCACAGAAATACCCATTATAATTACAGATACAGCCACAGCTTCGGATTCAAAAAAATTGAGCAGGCGTTCTCTATTTTCGGCAGTACATGTTCGATATGAACAATTATTACGTGTATCTAATCTCTCTTGAAGGACGCCCTCTAGTTTTTGGTGGTACTTTTAGAGATTTGGACCTCTTGCCATTCTATATCTTTGCTTGGACCTTCAAATTGATTCAATCCCCAAACATGGGCCCTGTTACGTTACTGTTGAGGACCCCTGTTCTATTTAGTCAATCTGTGCATCTACTTTCTGTGTTAAAGTGTTATACTAAAAAAGTAAAGATTAATATTGGTATGCTAGAATTATGATAATGTTTATAATGCAGCCATTAACTGTTAAGCTACAATAGTATCTAATACATTTTGTTTGTTACAGAAGCAGAGCTTATTTTCAGGCCTAAATTGATAATAGACCTTTCCAGGGTGTCAATTAAACTTTAAAAGCGACTAATCAGAACAGCACAAGGCATATGCGCGTCCAACAAACATGTATCACAAACGCACGTTTATGTACAATTAAGCTATCTTTTTGTGGGACCCTGGCAAGATTATCTAAGTGCTGGGGCTTAGCAGAAAAGTCCATTGTAGTAGTCGAGGAAGTGCAACTGGTAGAAAAAAACATTCAATATCACCTCACATTTTTAAGCATTCGTATTAAAATTGATATATCTGAAATGTTCATCGAAATTATTTGATACTGTATTTTATTTTAGAAAATTTCAATAACTAATTGAAAGTAAAATGTTCTTTTTTCAATACACAGTATGATGGTATTCTGCTTCCGGGCAAGTAATTTCTGACCGACTGCAGTACGTACATTTCTCATCGCTTCACCAGTCTCCATCTCCTCCGCCAAGTGTAACAGCCATCTACAAGGATACTACAGCTTTCATTTTTAACATACAAAAAAGTATGTAGTGTAAATTATACAAAATAATAAATTCCAGAAATAAAAAGAGATTAAATGGATATTAGTACATTGTTTTCTTGTGTTATTGCTAAGAAATTGTTATTAGGGAGCTTTCGATTGCACAAGGCAGTAGGACGCAGGGGCGGATTTAAAGCTGTCTCTTATACACATCTAGATGTGTATAAGAGACAGGCATATGTCAATCTCATTACTACACTGTTGACATTCATCAATACATTTTATTTTACAAGTGACTAATCAGAACAGCACAAGGCATACGCGCGTCCAACAAACATGTATCACAAATGCATGTTTATGTACAATTGCGCTATCTTTTTGTGGGACCCTAGCAAGATTATCTAAGTGCTAGGGCTTAGCAGAAAAGTCCATTGTAGTAGTCGAGGAGGGGCAACTGGTAGAAAAAAACATTCAATATCACCTCACATTTTTAAGCATTCGTATTAAAATTGATATATCTGAAATGTTCGTCAAAATTATTTGATACTGTATTTTATTTTAGAAAATTTCATTAACTAATTGAAAGTAAAATGTTCTTTTTTCAATACACAGTATGATGGTATTCTGCTTCCGGGCAAGTAATTTCTGACCGACTGCAGTACGTACATTTCTCATCGCTTCACCAGTCTCCATCTCCTCCGCCAAGTGTAACAGCCATCTACAAGGATACTACAGCTTTCATTTTTAACATACAAAAAAGTATGTAGTGTAAATTATACAAAATAATAAATTCCAGAAATAAAAAGAGATTAAATGGATATTAGTGCATTGTTTTCTTGTGTTATTGCTAAGAAATTGTTATTAGGGAGCTTTCGATTGCACAAGGCAGTAGGACGCAGGGGCGGATTTAAAGGGGGCCCTCAACCCCCCTTTGAAAAGTTAAAAAAACATCGCTGGATCTGCCCCTTGGGATGTAGAATGTAATGACGACGTCCTAAAGTCGATGGCGCATGTGAGCATGTCAAGTTCTCGTCACATGGATTCTAGGATTCAACTTGACCAAATCTATGTGCAGGGAACATAAAACGGTCACGTATTAGTGAGTCCATTCTAGCTTCGCGCAAATTGAAAGCTCTTATTACCTCTGGCTGACTAAAATCAGGTCATGATGTTTTTTTTTTTTGGTTCTTACTGACAAATTGCCAAAATTTATACTTGTGATGACATTGCATCATGAGCATGTGTAGGCAAATCTTGGCTATACATGTGCATACAACATTTTGTTGTCAAATAAAATTTGATAGTGTGGACAGCCTAGCCAGGGGTACTGTAGTAGTTGAAAGAAGCCAGTTGAGTGATATTTATTGTGTTGAATGCAGTAGAATGCATGGCCAGGTGACAGCAGTGAGAAAATAAGCGCAAGATATGTCAATTTCAAAGACACTTGCTGCAGCCCCTGTTATTTTATGAAGGGCATAACAGAATAAAGTAATATACACACGGAGTACTAAAAATTAGCATATAAATATCAAAAGATACCCTTTATTTGTGCAAAAATCAAGTATTTGTACATTATTTATACAATAATTAGTGATAATATTCTTTGCCATGAAGAATTTTAGACAAACGAGGTACAGTACATGATGTTACGGTACCAATAAATTAAATCCATTTTGTTACAATTGTTAAAGTGATTCAACGTCGTCGTCACACAGCGACACAAAGGTTTTTGTCTCTGAAATCACAAAAATGGCAGATTCTAAATAAGTTTCAGGAACATGGACTAATTCATGTCACTTGTGGTTGATGATAATATACAGCACTGTCTTTGTGAAAGTCTACATGATTCGAGAACACAATTTCTTTATCCATCGCTGCTTTAAAAAATCATTTACCAAAACAATTAAAATTATAATGTACAGTACTGTATCAACACAACTTGTTCACTCGCTTAAGGGAAAATGGAGCTTGTCTTCCCAAAACCAACATACTGTCTCTAATTGTTAAACTGAGTAATTACATGTGGCAGCATTGTATACTGTACTGTAATACAGAGAAACTGTACTACGTTTACTTGTAACTTTGGTAATAATAGTAAGTCAATTCAGTATATGACCCATCATTTTAAAAATTATAAAATGTGGAAAATATGAATATACAGTTGAACTTGCTTAAGTCGAATCCAAAATGGCATTGAAAATAATAGTTCGACTTGGATACAACAATTTGGCATGTAAAATTAGATCAACTTAGAAATTGGGCATGACAAGCCCAATTTGGTAAACAAGTTGCAAGGTTGAAGGAAAGAATGAGGTCCAGAATAATAGTCAAAAATGTTGCATCGAGTATGGCGGCTAGAGAAGCAAATACTGCAGAAAAGATAAATCCCATTACTGTACCAGAATTCTCTACAGTGAGTTCAAGCCTTATTTAAATATTTTAATTTTGATAAATTCAATTAATGATAAGAATAGCACTTTGTGTTAAAACAATCATAGGCACTTTACATAAAACTAGAATAGCACAAGACATACAAACAAATCAGTAAAGCCTAGTTTCTGTAAAAATAGCTACACATTATCGGCGACTCCTTTGGCGACGCTGATTGGTCAGTTGAATCGGGGAGCGTTCCTAATTGGGGGCAGCTACGCAGTGCAAGGATTGCAGTGAAAAAGTGTAGCGATTTTTATGGAAACAAGACAGTATCAAGCTTGTTTATATCAGACAACCAGATCCTCATCAGGGAACTCTTCGCCAGGGAACATTGCTTTGAAAACATTTTCACAGTCTGAGAGTCCCATCTCTGAACATCTAGAGGAACCTGTTCATAAAATGTGTTCTAATGGTGGGCTGAGGTGTGGGTGTGGATGTCAATGACATCAGACCCCTCATTGGGTATCTTGAACTCCTTGCTGTGGAATCTCTGGTGCTGCCACAGATGGGGTGCCAATAAAGTATTATAAAACTGTAAACTTTTGCAAGTTCATAGATTCTTAAATGTTATATGTGCACATACGATGATATGCTATTTTATGCATTCAATTACAACGTAACCTTTATATTATTTACATCTTTTAATTTACAATTCGATTCACTGCAGTACCATGATTAGTCAGTCTTATTAAGTATATAAAATTGTATCTTAAGTTTATGATATCCGACAATCACCTATAATATTGATATTGATATAATACTGTCATGTTGTGGAAGAGTGAAGTAAAATATCAAAATTGATTCCTAAAAAAATCAGTCTTTATTGTAAAAACTTCAGAATTTTCATTCTAAAACTTGGGCAAGCTCCTCCACCGCCTTTTTGGATCCTGGCGATGTGCCAAGGTATGCATGGCACGTCATTCGCATGTGTTCACGGTTTACTCCGTGTATTTCTTTCAGTTTGTGTAATTCCATCCGACTCCAATCCTGCTTCGTGCGTGTGTAGTCCTTCTGTCGGCGTTCGTGCGCATTACTGCTGTACTTTGTACCAAGATCATTTCTAATGTGGAGAAAAAACAACCCAGAAATAAAGTAATAATTACCTGATTCTGTTATTTTGGATTATTGGTCATCAATCACCTGCTACGCTGTTTCGTCTTGAGAAGACATTACGTACGCTAATATTAGTATTGTCATACTATCTAGAACACCCTCACTAATTAAAACATAAAATTGAGACAAATCGGCGAAAATCCTTAACGAACCACCTGATCTAAGGATCTATACAAGGAATGTAACGGGATAATTATTGTTAATAATTAGCACAAAAATACTTTCTTTTTAAAATTCTAATTGTCAATTGAATGCTAAGTTTATTTTTCTAATTTACTAGCTTAATGTAAATGGTATGTCTGTTAAGACCAACTCAGACAGCGTCATACAACGCAACCAAATGCGATTTTTTTGTTTGTCGTGTTGGACCTGTGTTAGTTAAATGTGGACGTGATAGGTCTGGGACAGTCGCACATGAGAATATAAAACATGTTAAATATTCTCATGACCTAAAGACTGTCCCTGATGATGAATTACATTGGGATGTGTCATACGATGCTGCCTGAGTTGGCTTTTATCAGGACATAAATAATATACCTCCCAGAAGCCATGTAAAATATTATTACTAACCTCAACAAAGGTACATCTCCCCAATCAAGTCTCTTGTTGATAGCCACATCAGGGCGTTTGTAAGATACCACTGGCCATTTTGGAAGATGTGTGCTGCCCTCTTTCTTTTGATTGCTTCTTGTCACCAAACTAGAATGAAACAATTTAAAGTAAAAATATTGCATAATTTAGTGTTTAATTAGTCCAGGAATGGGAAATGGAAAGATGGATGAAATAACATACCTATTACTGTACTAAATTATTTATATGTTGCAGATACTGAAAATGATGAATTTACAAAAATAGAAATTTAGATTTATATAGCACCTTACACTAATAATAGCCCCAAAGTGCTTACAAATGATAACACAATAGGCACATTACTTTTTGCTTAAATGTATTTATTTATTTTTTTTATATGTTTATATTTTTTTACATAACAATAACACAGATACGAGGAAACAATCAAAGCAATGGTCAGCTAACTTACACTTTTTTTACTTCTGGTCTTGGAGAACAAGGAACTGAATTTGGAACTGGATCTACAACACTTCAAAATGAATAATATAAAAATTAATTAAACAACAACTTAAATAAATTTCATTAGCAAACATGTAAACAATTATAATAATAAAAAAAAAAACAAGATGATGATGTGCTAAAAGCATTTCATAAATTGGGGAGGGATAATTTTGTTTCTATTAGTTTTACAACATGTAATTTACAAAGGTCTATTTTTATTTTAGAATAAAAACAAAAACTTAATTCTGACATTCACTTTACTAGCATGAAATCAGAAAACCATGTCTTTAGATTTAAGGAGGAAAAATTACTGTTGCCAGAAGGACATAAAATGTTCAGGTTTTAATTGTTTTTTTTTTTTATATTTATATTTCTGGGAAAAACAATAACTGTTGGAGAATTTCTGGTAATGTTTAAATGAATGCAATTTTAAAATAAAAAATATCATAAGAATTACTACTAACACATCCATTGAGTGGGACACTTCTGGATCTACTAAGCCAATGGCTGTCTTTCTTGTCACGAATCCATGCCGAACCGCAGCTGGCTATAAGAAAAGTAATCGGTAAATCCAAACAATGTTTAATTAGCAAAATGAAAGCTAGTAACTAAAGCTGTCCAAAACATGGCAAATAGAAAAAGGATGCATAGCAACATATATTGGGTGTACTTAGCAAAAGGCTGCACATAGCAACAAGATGGCTTTTAATTCTATATTAAGAAAAGCACAGACCTCCAAAAACATGTGGACGAAATCAAATGCGGACCCACAGATGTCTGAAAGGGAGGGCCGATCGAGATAACACTAACGATTTGCTGATGGTTTCTGCCTAAGAAATGCCTAAAATCGTAAACTTTGAAGGCTGATTTCTCAAATATTGTTCTTTAAACAGCTGTATGTTTAAACTCTTGTAATTTCATAATGAAGTGTCGGATTTAAATCATTTTTTTACCATTTTATAGCTCTCATTGTACTGTTAAACCCTGTATTAATAACTAAAAATTGATTTTTCCGACGAGTGACTGGTTTGGCTTGTCTTTGCCACAAATGTATTAGTAGAATGGTCTAATAATACTTACCATATCTGCCATGTATTGCATAAGGAAAGTATTATAGTATGGCTCCAAACTACTCCAGATAAAAGGTGTATATGGCTTACTGAAAATAAAAGCACACACGATACACTCAAAATTATTCAAAGAATAACTCAATTTTTGCTGCCCAAGACAGCTTGCTCACCCTAGGCACACCCAATTTAAAATTTTACTGAACAAAAAAAATTGAGCTCAAATTGTTAAAAATCACCTCATACCAACTTATTTTGCCTGCTAACCCCCTCACTTAATCATCGAACCTCCCACTCAACATTTGACTCCACACTTTGTTCCCTCAATTATCCCCTGGGAGTGGAGATGTAGTTTGGTGAATATTTTCCTTCTAATCTAGGGTCAGGTTCAAATCCTGTGATAGTACACAATTTTTTCTCACAACTAAGAAAAACTCCCCAAGACTTCAATGACACTTCTTTAAAGTATAAGCACCACAGGATAAGGTGTCACCATACAGTGAGTATGGCTGGGAAATCTAAAGTTGAGTTTATAGCATATTTAGATAAATCACACATTATAATATAAAATTAAAGAATAACTTTGAATAGCTTTCATAGAATAAGTAGATCCAGAGATGTGCGCATTTTATTTTTAGATGTATGAGAACTGGTTTTCAGAAAACCAGCTTCAAAGTTAACCTAACCAAGGCCTATATACATAATAGGATTAGAAATACAGAATATGCATTGAGAATAATTTTATAGTAAGGAAATTAGCCAAAAAAGTAAACTATCATTATCATAAATATCAAGAATCAGGAATATATAAGGTAACAATTTAATGTCAATACTGTACTCCTAAATATGTCACTGTCTGTAAGATTGCTAATAGCTGCCCTGTTCGGCAAATCTTGGCACCACCACTACTACTGATACATATACCCACCAATAATGATTTACAGTTTGCACCTTGATTCGTTAAGATTTTTTTTCAACGTGTTTTGCCAACTTATTTTTCGTCAGAGGAGGGCGGAAAATAAATGAAAATAAAATTTTGCTTTCTTATTTAGCAAATATTTTTTGCCAAAAACATCCAGACGGAGGAGAAAATAAAAATAAAATGTTATTGGTGAATGTAAACAGTGTAGTAATGGGATGGTTAATTGCTTTAAATTTATATAATTAGGAAGAAAATATACAGATTTCAAGGAAGTGGCATTCATAATAAAAATTTAAAATTTTTAAAATTTTTCATGAAATTATCATTGGTGGGCGGCAGGTTTGCTAAAAACAAGTTATAAAAAAGCCTTGCCTCAAAGAAAATAAAGTAGATATACTTACAAATCTGGTTTTATAATTTTTGTTGACTCTCTCTGAAGGCTTGTTTTTAGTCTTTTCATCTCAGCTATATACTGTTGTTCCAGCTTCTTTTTACCGTCTGGCGAATTTTCATCAGCATCTACAATAAATAAAATTGGTACAAATTACCAATTGCTTAATATACTATCTGCATTAGGCTAAAATAATGTAAACAGAAAAATCCTTTTCAACAATAAAAAAATAATTTAATTCAATATTTTATTTTCATATTTGAAGAATATTTCAGATTTTATCATAGATAACATTCTATTTATTATATTATTATCTCTCAATATATATATTTAATGTATTATTAGTTATAAATATGAATTAAGTATATAAATTAAATAAGAACTCCTATAAAGCATTAGATTCAAATTAAATATTCACTTAATTTAAATAATTTAACACTCAAAACACAATATATATTATTATCTCTCTAAATATATTTAATGTATTATTAGTTATAAATATTAATTAAGTATATAAATTAAATATGAACTCCTATAAAGTATTTGATTCAAACACTCAAAATGCAATATTCTTCCTTTAGAAAAAAAAATGGATAGAATTGTTCCTTCTCACACTTCAATCTGATGATTGCAATCAACAGAAAATAAACTTATTATAGGGTTGAACAAAATTATTCTCCCTCTCAAGCATTTATCATTTGCAAAAACATATCCTGGGGCTTACCATTCTCTTCACTTGGTTTTGCTGTGTCCTCTGTTGTTCCTTCTTCTTTAGTCGACTGTACCTGTAACAATTATCAGAAAAAAATTTCTCTTGTAGTGATGTAATTAAAATTAAGCCTTTTATATAAACATTCTATTTCTACTTCTATTTCAGTGGTTAATTGGCAGTGTCTAAATGTTCACTTAATTTAAATAATCTAACACTCAAAATGCAATATTCTTCCTTTAGAAAAAAATGGATAGAATTGTTCCTTCTCACACTTAAATCTGATGATTGCAATCTACAGCAAATAAACTTATTATTATTATTAAACAAAATTATTCTCCCTCTCAAGCATTTATCATTTGCAAAAACATATCCTGGGGCTTACCATTCTCTTCACTTGGTTTTGCTGTGTCCTCTGTTGTTCCTTCTTCTTTAGTCGACTGTACCTGTAACAATTATCAGAAAAGAATTTCTCTTGTAGTGATGTAATTAAAATTAAGCCTTTTATATAAACATTCTATTTCTACTTCTACTTGGTTAATTGGCAGTGTCTAAATGTCTTGATGTGTTGCCAATGAAAGAGAGCGTGGACACAAACCATTGCCACCTAGGCCCTAATACAAATCTTTTTTTATACAGTGCTGCTGGAAAGCTCTTTCAAATTATTTAAGTACTGGTCAACCAAGAGGTCCAGATTTGGTACAGAAACATAATAGGCTACAGATTAAAATATAAGAAAATGAAAACATGACTTTTCTCTATGCTTAGACACTAAAATTCCATATTGATTCTATGAGAAATTTGATTAACTTATGGATCTTATCTGAATGGTTTAACTCTAATGAAGCAAGATCCTGCATCAGGTTAGAATAGTCGAAAAAGGAACAGTCTAGCTTGTCAACTGAAAATTACAAGGAGAATACAGTCTCCTCGCCATGTTAACTGACCCATAAATTACTGTTCAGAATTGTTTATATTCTCGGTTGGTAAGTAAATCAATTTATTGATTTTCTTTATTATTAAATGTCTGTAAATCGGTGAAAATTGAATTACTTTGTACTGACATGTCTCATCATATTTTGAAATATTATTGAACAAACTCATTATGCCTATATATTATTAAAATGAGCTATTAATTTTTTAATTTAATGATTCAAGTTACATGAAATGCTCTAATTGATGGGGTGGGGGGTGCAAGTATAATTTATAAAATCACAACATTAATGGGTAATGATTCTAATGACAATGTGCTTGATATTTTTATTTCAATGCTCACTAATTTTATTACAAACGTAAACAAGTTTTCTTATTCTTAATGCATCGTTTGTGGCTTTGAAATGACAGACCAATCGGAGCAATTAATTTTGTTGGCCAATCTTACAATGTTCATTTTTCTGGCAATATGTTTTATGATGTTGTTTTTTCAACTTTGTATGGGTCATCATTCTGTTTCTGAAGCTCTTTGTTCCTTAAGTTTTAATGATGGGCTTGAAACAAACATCACAAGACACAAGCATCAATCAATTGAGAAGTGCTGGAGCACTATTTCATCTAACATCTCACATTACAAAGTTCCATCATCACAATCGACGATGGTTTACAATTCACATTATTGGATCTAATTTCCTAGACGAAAGTTAGCCTGCATTTCCAGCTATATTTCAGAAGGCAAGCCTAGGCTCTAGTCCCTGCCTAGGCCTAGAGAGTGGTAGCCTTTCAAGTTTCACACTCCCTCACACGGATCGAAAAACTACGCGAAACAACCAACCCCTTCAACCTTGCAACACACACACTCATCATAAAAAGTCAACAAATATTTTATATTAAAAACAAACCCATTTTACCTGCTCATGTTCTTCGCTGGACATCCTGTACAGTATTACTTGCCTTAATACATATACGTTTGATCTTAGTCTGGCATCAAAACCGTGCTTTAAATTGTTTTACACCTCTTTTCTGCCGACAAAACAACACGAAACATACAGCAAGCATGAACAACAAAGTCGTGGCCTCCTTAGCAACCGTATCTATGACCGGATTTAATGGAGTACGACGATACTTATCAAACAATGAATAACACTTCCACAAACCAACAAGTACTTTGCTGACGAAACCGCTGAAGAATAATATTAATTGCTTACACAGTGTTTAGGAAATATATTAAACGTTAATTATACATTTTTTTTTACAGTAAATATAGTGTCAGTAATTAAATTCTCACAAAAAGAAACACTTAATGTTATTGATGTCATCTTTGTGTGTACTGTATAATGATCGTTTTAAGATTGTTATTTGTTTTGACTTTTATAAAACAATTATTTTGAGATGATACTTTTTAATCAATTTTTAAAATTTAATTACTGTCAATTTTGCTATTATCTGATTGATACATTTGTACAGTATTTGAATTTTTACAACAATCATATAGGCCTACTTTTTATATCTAATTTTATTATTGATGTTTTGTACAACTTTTGCCTCTCCTCAGCCTCCCTCTTTATCCATCCTTGCCTTTTTCTCTTATGTATTGTACTGCTGGAAGGAATGAAATAAATTTCTAACTTCAATGAATGGTTGATTTATTATGTAAATTGTATGTGTAGATGTAAAAGTTAGTTTAATCAGAAGCCCCACCCCCTCCCCCACCTTTTTGGAAAGAAAAAAAAACAAAAAAAAACCGAGAAAGTAAAAAGAAAAAAAAATGATCGCCCAAAGCGCCTCAGGTTATTTTTGGGTGTCTACAACACCAAATTTTTGCAGGGACATTCCCCCAGACCCGTAGGGTAGTGTTATCTCGATTACCTCCACTTTCGGACATCTCTGAATCCGCCCCTGAAAATATTATAAAATAATACAATCTAGGGGTTTTCAAAACAAAACATAAGTACTGTATAACAAACTATTAATTATGCCATGGTACAGTATTTCAATCTTTCCCATTAATGTATGTTATAATAATCGATTGTATAATGAACAATGCCTAATAATATTGGAATTTGTAATACGGTAGGCATACTATACTTGAATTGTGTTCAATAAAATAAAACACCACTGTTTGATCGATATTTCATAAATCTTTATTTTGTTTCTTATTCAAAAAACATTTTTTTTTTTTCTAGTATTTTAATCAGAGTGCAAGTTGTTATGCTAATCCCCATGCAACAGGGCATCTAGAATCAGCAGAATCATTTACATAATGATTTACATAAGCAAGTCACCATTATCATTAGTGATCAAAATCAAACACTGTGTATTACATAATATTACAGTATAAGCAGTTGCAAAAAACAAATGAATGCAACTTATAAGGCCAAATAATAATAACCACAATGATAAAAAAAAACAAAAAACAAAAAAACATGCTTCTTGTTCTTTTCATTGCCGTTTTTTAAGGGGTGATAATGTTTTCATGTCGAGTGGTAGATGCAGGAGTGGTGATGTAGGGGTGTTCCATCTCCCAGCAGCCAAGAAAAATTCTAACCGAGATTAAAATTATTCAACACTCTCCCGCCTTTTGGCATCCATCCCTTATAATTTACTGTAAAACACCCAGAAAATCATGTGGAGATCCAAATATTATAACCAGTATGCATCAGGCCTAGATATAGTACTGTGCCTGTATCATATCAAGAAAAACAAAGAGGGGGAGGGGAAACACATCCTAATGTTTTCCCTCCCTATCGAACGACAAGAAGCATGTGCTATTTATACTTATCTTAACCAAACATAAATTCAATGCCAAGGTATATACCCAATTCACTAATCTCCGAATAGGTAGATTATGCAACTGATAATAAATCATTAAAAGAAATAAAGAATTTCAAATTTCTGTGTGTTGATATCAAGAAATCAAACCAAATCTTCATCTTGGTTAGAGTTTCTTGAAAGTTTTCATGGATACCAATATGCTAAATTCAACATGAAAGCAACAATCATATTGTTACATTAAAAGACTTTTGAATTAAAGAAAACAAATACTGTACTTTGTGCAGTGGAATGTGAGATCACACTAATAGTCACGCAGGCCTATGCTGCAATCACGTTCAACAATAATAATAATAATAATAATAATAATAATAATAATATATTAGACTTGTTGTATTGTTAAACTCAATGCCATTTACCTTAATAACATTTAACAAAGAAAATAAACAGAGGTTTTTAAGTAACACATATCAAGTTTGTGAAAGGGTGAACTAAAAATTACATTTGCTGATAAAAAAAAAACCCCAATGAAAAAAAAATACTATTACAGGGTAGTAACAAAATAAATCATTGATTTTGTTTTAATGTCATTTTATCAATTAGAATTAAATAGACAGGGGGGTTGTCACCATACTAAAATGAAGCAAGTCAATTACTGAGTACTTCAACTGTCTAATACCATTTAGTATTTTCAACATAATAGCAGCAAGTTACAATTTCGACTTCAATTTCACAGGGTAATCTTTCATCATATTTATTGTACGTACTTGCTGTATATATTGTATTCAACTGTATTATATAGATACTATTATTATATAGATGGTTTCTTTGACATTTATGTCCTTTTTTCACTCGAGTATGCAATACAAAAAAATATCTCAAATGGAATGAAAAGTTTATTTTGACCATAAAGAGTATAATCGTATCGTATATTGGTAGCAAAGAAGACCCGATACTCTGGTATTTCCCCATTCCTCAACATTCCATTGAATCGAGTCAAATTTGCAACTACTGTAATGATTTAATGTGAGGTATATTTAATTCCTTAAGGATTGCTGTACTAAATTCAAACACTATATTCTAGAACTGCAATACTATGTGCAACTACAGCACGTAAAACTATATGCTGTAAAGCAAGACATTGACGATACATACAATAGGCCTACTTAAACAAAATTTTAAACACTAACGTTCAAGTTTTCAACCTAATTTCGTGGATATAGTCCCAAGTCAAGCTACCAACAATAATTAGAGTCGAAAATTCTGATGGTGACTAGAGCTTATCACAGTACAATTCAATTGCATTAGGACAAGGTAATATGACACATCTTCTCTAACATTAGAGCCTTAACAACACTGCAAATGGCAGAGGAATTACATTATTCCAATAATCACGATTAATTCTGATCAGTTATTTAAAGCAATCATTCACCTTTTAATATACATTATATAAAATTCTTATCTACAATGAAACTGTGTGATATAAATGTGAAACCATTTTATGTGGGCCCAGCCAATCTTTGACTAAAACTCCAGCATTCAGCAATGCACACAAGCTAAATCAATAATATTAATATGTCTTGTAGGCCCAGCCCAATCCAGTGAGTTTACAGTTTAACTATAACCTTTGTATTGAAATTAACTGGTCCTCAAATTTCAACCAATACAGTGGTTTCATTATCATAGGATATCACATATCAGTAAATTCTTTTACGAAGGAAAGAAAAGGTAAGTAGGCCTAAAGATAATAAATGAAACAAACCTGGTGATACGAAAGCAAGAAGTAAAAAACTCAATAATTAATAAAAAGAAATTTTGTAGCCAAACACATAAACACATGTTTCAATTTTAATTGATGACATATTTTAAGAGTTGGTGCTTAAAAAACCTATTTGTTTAAAATGAAAATATGAACAATAGAATACCTAGATAACAACACAACTTTGGGTGGGGCCAAGAGCTATGGTGGTTCGACAACCAGGAACTGATCGCATCATATTCTTTCCCCATACATCCAAAACATCAATGACATAACAAGGTATTTTGAATTTCAGACTAAGAATACAACATCTAAGTGTATAGTATGCATATATCTACAGACAGAAGAATATTTACCTGGGTTATACGGCTGTATGCATGACAGTGATTGAAAGCAATCTGTTCTAGGTGCATTACTAATGACATCATCAATCCCTGACCTCTGATTTCTCTCTTGTAGACAAATGCTACCTTAATTAAAACTACTGACTGATCACATTATCTCTGAGTGCATCTTCTATTATTTTCTATCATTAGCTTCAATATTTAGTCATGTTTTACAAGTTAAATTAAAAGTTGCACGTGTTCATTTATGGTGGGCCTATATTCATCCTCATTTATCCTTTTGATAAACATCCTGACCTTTCATCAATGTGATTGGCTACCATACAGCCTCTAGGCATCTGCTGACCAATAGAATGCACACTATACACTGTTGCCTGATTACACCGGAGTGCCACTTTAAGTAGCACCCACAAAATAAATAAACATTTTGTATGAAACTCCTGATTTTCATTCTTGACATTTTGCAACATAAATCATATTATAATTATGTTACATATTGATACTTTGTTTTTACATATGCATGTATGGTTGTTACATTCAATTTGTCTTAAATAGATTGTTTGGTTTTATACAATAACTATCTACAATTTAGCTAAAATAGTATTTTTTTTACGTTTATTACATGATACAGACATGCCAACCCTAAAAGGCCAACAAAAAGAGTCTGAAAAAAACTTCTGAGCAGAGTTTTGGCAATGTGAGAGGAGTATTCCCAAGACATGGTACCTATGTGATTGGATTGTAAAATGTAACCGTTTTGACTCACAATACCAACATGCAAGACTAGGCCCTAGGCCTAGGTAGAAAAGCGGAGATTTTCAAAACAAAATCGGAGTGGGGAGTTTTGCTTAAATAAGCAGAGTAACTCCGCCGAAATCGGAGTGGTTGGCATGTCTGCGTGATACATTAAGACCAACAAGATGTTGTCATAACTTGTTTTATAAATCTGTTGACATTAGCGTTGCCTTTGGTGTAGACACTATCGGGGTGATGGGTAACATATTTATGTCTCTTATACACATCTAGATGTGTATAAGAGACAGGCAAATGTTGGCTGATTTCTACATTGCTGCTACCCCCACTGGAATGTCGTGACTTGGTAATCTTATCAAGCATCTCAGCATGACCATCAACATACGAAGAAATATTAGTTACACCTAGAAAAAGGACAACATACAATAAGTTTAAATCAGAAAAACAAAATAAAATGAAATGGCAAGACAGCAAAAAAAAAAAAAAAAAAAAAAAAACCACAGGGAACTGTCTCTAAAAAAAAAAACCAAGAAGAAGCTAAAAAACAGATCAGAAAATAAAATAAGGATATGACATTATAAATATTGACAGATTCATAAAATATTCAATGAACTTTATTTACTGATATATTATCAACAATAACTAGAGAACTCACTACACAGAGCGCAACCTCCATCCTGTGCCTGGATACTGAACAACACACAGGCCATGTATAGGTGATAAAGTTCAAGGGAAAAAATAGATCCTTGAACTTTGACTTTTTCTTCTGAAAAGTTAATAACCTCCTTCATAGAATATTATGTACCATTCCATGAAATTTTATGATTCATTCCTTTATTTTTGTGTAAATCTTGCTAACAAACAGAGTGAATACATAACCTCCTTGGCAGAGGTAATAATAATGACATCCAATAATAGTAGCACATTATTATAAGAAAATGAGTGGCACTACAACTGACAAAAATAATAACTTCAAAAGAAAAGAAGACAAGCTTATAAAAAAAAGATCAAAATCAAAATGTAAGAATATAAGTTAATTTACCTTTTTCTTCACTAATTGAACCGGCCATTGCGGTCATACTTGAGTTGTCAGGTAAATACAGCGATGCACTCTCGCTACTCAAGCTGCATCGTTTACTAGATACTTCAATATGTACATCCAGTCTGAAAACAATAACAACTAAATATTGAAACAAATCCATCTGGTTGTTTGTATAGTCTCATTCTCAACTGGCGTCATCGCACATTTCTATGCTAGGCATAAGTAGTGGAACGCCATTTAAGAATGAGACCTGATAGGGCTCAAAACGTTCAGTAAGTACGTCTTCACCTTTATTGGTTGATAGAATATAAATTATATTTACTACTCATGGGACGGATTGCTATAAAATGCACAAGCACCCAAAAACGTTAAAGAATCAGAAATTCTAAACATTTTCAGGTTTTCGCATTAGAACATATATTGAAGAACGCTTCTGTAAAATATCAATCACTAAATCTAATTGAAAAGTATATTAAAATTATTTTAAAATACAAATCTTAAACTATTGATTTTGAAATCTTTGGAAGTTGTTTCTCAAAACCTACAGTACATGAATTCTATCCGATGAATTATATGCATAACTTTGCTAACACTCAACCAATTTCCATCAAATAAACACTGTTTTAAAGAAGTAGTAAGTAACTTTATTGCTTCTCTTTTATAACAGAATTTATGTTGAATCTGAAAATACCAAAAACTCAATTTTGAGTTTTTCCGATAGATGGCTGGTTCTTCCAGAGCCAGTCACAAATTGTTGCAACAACTAAAAGTCCTTGGTGAAAGCTAGAAGCCTGAATTAGAATCAACATTTAAATATTTTACAAGAGAAAAGTCCTTTGGTGCGATGCATCAAGCACGGCAAAACAGTAGTTCATTTCATTGTATCTCGTGTTAAGTCCAAGCAGCTACTGTGAAAGTACAGTACAGGCCTTAGCAAACCACTTTTCAGAGAAGATATTTAAGCTGTTAGTTGCACAAAATGTCCATGTTATATATAAAAACTTAGTCCTCTGTTTATTCTTCAGAAAATTTAGAGAATTTTTGCTGGATATATATATTACCACCAGCTTTAGCACTGTCCTGAATTTTTATGATTTTAGGAGTGTCTAACATGAGAAAATCAATAGCTTGGACATACAATACTTCATTTGACCAAGAGCCTGCATGTTAACATAATATTTTGTTTTATTATAATTATTACATTATTATTGTTTGCACTATTTTTTTTTCATACTAATACTATACAGTACTAATTTTTTTCTTAAAATCATTTTACACTAAAATACGCACAATTAAATAAACTAAGAATAGCAGAAATACTGTAGCACTAATTTCCAGTTATGCCATCTGAAATACCTTACATCTAACCCAGCTTGGAAAAACAGCTCAATTTTAAAAACATTAAAATTCTGACAACATTCTACTGACCACTTTGTAATCTGACTTAAAAAAATTTGTTTTATTCTCATATTTTTAAATTTTACCTTCTATTTTGATTTGTTATCGTTCATTGTAAATTTATGAATGTTGTTTTGTTTCCTGCAATGTTGTGCTCATGTAGAACATGACCTGGAATTTGTGTAGGTTTTTCATATGCTGAATAAAGAATGATAGTTACTTTTACTTTGTTTTTATAATACACCTAAATATATTGTATACATAATATGTTTATTAGGTTAAAGGCTTCCTTGAATATCACCAATTGTTATACATGGAATGAAGTTTAGAGTTATATTATAATTATACTTCACTTGTGCTGTTTTTCGGCAGATGTCTCCTGTTGAAAATAACATGCAAGTAATTCATGCATCAACTTTCACACACAAAACATACAAGCTGTGTTTATGCACATACTACATCATTATCTAATGTTTACTTAATTGCAGCCGACGGACATACTTTACACCATTAGTTGTCTGCAGACTGACATGTATGATAATTATAATGGGTTTAATGTAACAAATTCTATTTAGCGTACCATACATCAGGACATGAAGTAGGTGATGAAGTATACAGTAAAATATAACTGTCATTTGCAAAGTGCATTAATAGGGTTTTATATGATTAACATTTAAAATTGAGAATGAATTTGTGTACGAAGATGAATAATTATAATACGAGCGACAAAACAAAAATATTACTATAGGATCTTGTGAGCATAGCTCTCAAATTAAAGTCTCTCTCAAAAAATAGCACTGCACAGAACATTATTTTTTTTTAGGCGACACTCTCACAAGTGCAGCTTCAATATTTCTACTTTAAAATTAACATTAAATTACTGACTTCTTATAGATTACGTAACACTTAAAGACGATCCAAAAACTTTTATTCAAAGAGATTTGTCCTTAATGGTTCAATCTTTCGAAACAAAACGAGGACAATGCATGGTTGCAGGATCGCTTAAGATTGGCACAAAGGTCGACTGCACCATTTTTATTTTGAGGGGTGTTCTCTTTTGGGAAGAATAGGCAATTAGTCGGTTTATCAAGGTAAGTATTAATGAAGTAGATGACTGACTTCTTATGGATTACATAACACTAACATTGCAACAAGTCTGATAGGCCAATTTATAAAAAAAATGGTATCAATAAAACAATTTAAATTGCCCATTTATTTTAATAACTATCAATAAAAAATAAATACAAAAAAACATAATAATAATAAAACCAATTTGGGTTTTACTATCAAAATCATTAAATTGGTCACCAACCAATTTATGGGTGGATATTGGCACTATATAAATAATTGTTGATTGATGGGTCTATGCAAAAAGAATATAGTCACTAAAATATTTATTATGAAGAATAACCAAAAAGTCCTCTGATTAATCTCAGACAAAAAGTATAATACATACTCCAAGTATTGAAATGCATGATGGTGTGCATGATTTCAATACTTGGAGTACACTTTTTTTTATTGAAGAATAACCAATTAACCTATTAACCATGGCGGTATTAATACCTTCATGTGTTAAAGCCATAAACACTTGGCACAAAATACATGCTCATTAATCACATTAAGTGCTGTTCCAATTGGAGCAGATAAACTACACACCAAGATTAAGATAAGGGAATTTCTTTTCTGATTCTATTTTTCAATTGAATGCCAATAATTTACCTCAAATACACAAAGTAATTAATTTATATATGAATTTCATTTTTCAAGATTTTTTAGAACTTTATCACAGACTCTATATCTTCAAATAACATGACTATTGATCAATCTGTGTTCCTAGGCTTATCAACATAATGTACAGTACATTAATTGACAAGTCTGCTTTTTAATGATTTCACTATAATAAGGCCAAAATAAAAAAAAATTGTGTTGGCCACACCCGACTGGCCCTATTTTACTTTATGGTACGTGACGCAAATCCAAAATTGTTGTATTATTTGTGTATTCTACTTTTTAGGTGTAAATACATTTTTGGTTGTTAAAAAAAATATTTAAAAAAAACGTTCTAAATTCTAAATATTAAACTAGTACAGTAGTCTTAATATTTGTAATTATGATATATCTCTTTCCTTACTAAAATAATGCAATTTCATTTGTTAATCATTTTCATCACCCTCTATTGTGAATAAACCTGTCATATATTTGAGAATTTATTTCCCTGTTTACATTCTAAGGTTGTTATCAGCCATATAATCTATAATGGATAAAGCACCGAGGCGTATAGACACAGGTGGGAGGATAAAGGTATGCAAACATGGTACATTCATCCATCCATATGCGCACTTCCGCTTATCTACGTAGGTGAACATAGTCAACTGGGATATATGCAATTGCGACAAAATGAGATTATGTAACACATCTTATTGTATTTTGCTGTGCCTCATGATATCCGCGACAAGAAAACTGCAGACAACTGCTACAGTAATACAGCAGTAAAAAAATAAAAACATTCTGAATTTGAGGGAGATGGTTTGTTTTCTAGATCTTTTGCTTGCTTGTGTTAAACCCAGGATCTGGAGGAAATTTTTTTTTTTTTTTATATGTTGTACAACTGATTTTTCTAAGACATAAAAAGCATATTTGATGAAAAACTTGGAAATGGTTAATGAGATACAGATTTTTGAACACTTAAAAACTGGAGGAAAAAGATGAAAAAAGGGTGGTTACACCCCTTCCCCACCACAGTTTTTAAATATTTAAGAATCAGAATCTCATTAACCGTTGTGCAGTTTTTTGTCAAATACGCTTTTTTGCGTCTTAGTACAACATATCAAAACATTCAAGTCTGGATTTAAGTGCAGGAAATGGTGCTTATTTCTGAAAGATTCCCACAAATCATAGAATTGGAAACCTTGCAAGAGCCACAGCCATCATCAAGATAACTAGGGCGTGGCCAGGAATGCTTTTCAGTTCAGAGCACAGAACGTGGCTACCACCACCTTCTACCATCTGCACTATGCTGCACACAATCGTACGAAATCTGCATAATTAATTATTATTATTATTTACTGTATTATTATTATTAATAATAATAATTATTATTATGAATCCAACAACTGAATGGTTAATAAAACACATAGTCAATATACTTACTTATTTTGTCCAATAACACTGGGCCCCACACTGCCACTTCCTGATAAACTACCAGTAAGGCTGGAGCCTGCGATTGCCCTGGTACTAGCGCTATCACTTACGGTATCATCGTGCAGGATTCCGACCACTTCCAGTTGACTCTCACGGGCTACGCTTGCCTCCCCTATACTTGAATTGCCAACAGCACTGTTTACTTCAGGATTTATATCTGTAATGATTCATTTGATTTTTGATGTTTTAATGCATATTAAAATATATTCTATAAAAAGCTTCGTCATATCACAATTTATGTGACAAATAAATGTGATATGTCCATATTTTGATGTAATATGACATCATTACATCCATTGTTATATTTCCTTTTTAAGGTTAAATAATTTGAACGTATGTAAATGACTACAGTATTAACTTCTCTCAGTTACCTTATATTATATATTTGTATATTACAAAAAAATACTATATTATTTTTTTCCCAATGATTAAATAAAAAACGCCACTCCCTAACAAAATATTTACGCGTAGAGACCTTGTTTATTTGCGCCTTATAAATTGACCTATTATTATTACTTTAACGTTCAATCTTGTAAATTTGGTGATTGTACATACTGCTGGTTGTAAAAAAAAAAAAACAAAGCAGTCTCGCACCACGTAATTTGTAGAATTGGGATTTCTGGATATGTTTGCAGGATTTATAGCTCACAAATCAAAGTAAATAAGATAATTATATGGTTTTCAGAATCAATAATCCACCTGTCCATCACAAGCAATGTGGATGAATTCTTCAAACAGAAACCCAGAAGGCATGCTGGTTATTCCATCAACTATTTAACATGAAGACTGAATCAAAATAAAAGCGCCAAATGCACCAAAACGTGGACAGGCTTCTCCATACAGGCTTTATCATCACAAACCATGTAGTACGGTAGCATGACTCACTGCCCTCAACAATTATGACTTTAAACATTAGCTCAGCCTGCGTGCAATGAACCGTGCAAAAATCTGACCTTAGGTTTACAATGCAGACAGCATTAAGACAAGCAACAAACCACTGCTAAATATAGCTCATGAGTAACAGAGCAACTATCTGACTAAAACGAATCACACTATTAATATTAGAATACTACTACACAAAAAACAACAGGTCAAAATAGCTATAGGCCTGAGTATATACCCTGGGAAAAATGTTTTGATATGGTTGATCTTCAAACAGAGGCATTAACAATGACAATAATTTTATACTGCTTTATGTAAAATGTCAAAGACGAATATCAGATCAGGTTTTGATAATTCTACTGACGTTGCATAATATACCAGTGTCAAAATTAATAGTACAGCTTTTCAGGAACAATGAGTCTTTGTATACTGTACAGTACATAAATTCCATGCTGAAATCTGTTGACATAGGAAATGAATACAATGTGACAACAGGTGTGGTAGTGAGTCGGAATGACAGCAGTTTGTAGTGACTTCAGTATTATTCTTATCATTATTAAATACTATTCTCAAGGTATTCGAGCACAAGAGAACGCTTGTATTAAAGCTTAATAAGAAGATGATTCAACCAATTAAAAATTCAAATTTTAAAGTACTTTTTAATAAGTTGATTTAAATATATTGGTATGTCCGTGGAAGTGTGATTCACTAAGAACACCTATACTGTGCAGCATGCTGTTTTTCATATTATGTGTACATGGTTGTAGCTATAGAATCCTAAGAGTGGATGGTAGACATTTATGGGTGGATATGGTGATAACACTGGTGAATTCTAAATAATAAGAGTAGATTTTAAGGAAGGGCAGGGGGTTAATAAAGGTGGGTGGAGGGCCATAACTACTTCTCTGTGCGTACCATGTTAGCAAAAATGGCACTAGATACAAGACACCTAGTTTAATGTATTCAAAGTAAACCTTGTTGCAGTAACATAGGAAGTGCATCAATAGCAACCAAGTAGGTATTCTTTGTTCTTTTGTATGAACCGGTACAACATCCGTATTATCACAATACCCAATAAATGACGTCCAAACCGTTTACAATTAAATGTTATTATAAGTTTATACTGTAAACATATTATCAGATATCCTTTCAAACTACACAATAAAGAACTGACTATAAAATCAAGTGTATTGGATTAATCCTGAAACTTGAACATGATTTCTATGCCAAAAACATTAAATTAAATTTAAAAAATATATATAATAAAAATAAATAACAAATAAATTAAAAAATAAACAAGCTTATAGATAGACTCCAGTTGTAGAACTGAAAAGTGTGCTTGATGAAAACCTTGGGAATGGTAAATGAGATACAGATTTTTGAATACGGTATTTAAAAACAGGGAGAAAAAAAGGGGTGTACCAACTTTTTTTTCACCTTTCCCCAGGTTTTAAATATTAAAAAATCTGTATCTCATTTACGTAAACACTGTTTTTGTGTCTAGAAATTCAGTTCGACAATATATCAAAATTTGTTTTATCATATCAGGAGACTGGCTTTAAGTATAGTTCTAATGCAGTAAGATAAATACTTCTGGTAAATCAAAGTCAATATGCAAATATCATCTGAGCAGCCTACCTGAAGCATTTGTCACTCCAACTGTGACATCATTATCATTGTCAAATTCAATTCTGACTCCGCCACTATGACTTGTTGTCACACCACAGCCGCCGCTGCGGCAAAGGGAGAATGGCACCACGCCATAAACATACGTCAACATTATTGGAACACCAATACCTAACAGAAGAAAAAAAAAATGAAAATGCACATTTAAATATTAAACCAACATGGGTATTTGTTAAGTCCACATTTGGGTAAAGCCAACCCCAAAACCTTTGACCAACTCTCATTTAAAATGCTCCACACTGGTATAAGGAAACTCCATAAATTAAAGGTTTTAAACAGAAAATTCATAAATGTGTTTCAGATAAATTCATTCATTTATTAAATTAACATTTAACAACTCGACAATAACAAAAATTTGGTACAGAGAGAGCAAAAATTACAGAGGGCTCCCTCTTTGCATATATCAGTCTTGGCCCCGAAAAGTCAACGTCGTCGGACATTGACGACAATAATAACAGTTCATTCTTATATAGTGCATACAAGTAAGCTCTCAATGCCCTGTACATAAACATACTGTAGGAAGGGCGCCATTGAAAATGGTTATTCTCAGAACTGTTTCGTAAGCAAAGCACTATGGACCTAAATTTGATATTATATCATAGACAATTGCACTCGATGAAGTCCAAACATTATCAACATAATTACGCATACGCACTATGCTTTGCTATGACGTCAAACCTTCCCTGATTACTTACTTAGTCTCAGAACCAAAATTTACAAATGAAGGTAGTTAGCTATGAAAGGCCTACAGTAGTAAACTTGAATTTTTTAGTCTGTAGATAATTCCATATGTTATATTAAGTATACACTAAAAAACTTGCTACCGTATTTAGAACATTTAGCTTTACAAAAATGCTAAAATTAATATAAATAATATCATTTGAACATTAATGATATTAATTACTTATTGGCACACCATCAGTTTTATTTACATGTCGACTTTTATCAACATATAAACTATGCAACTCACCTTTAACAGTATAATACCAAGTATTACTGTTGTACAAGTTCTTTTGCTTCTTTTTCAATGGGTTATTTATAGCCATTAAGTTTAAGCTTTCTCCTGGGTTTTCACTTTCGCTTCCTCTACTCTACAGCCAACGAATAACAAAAGTGCAAGCGATGGCAATTATGGAAGACACACATAAAAGATATAAGATTATTAGTGTGATTACTTACCCACAGTAAGAGCTGCAAGTACAGGGGCAGCCACAATCGATAAAGATACGCTGCCAAATATGGCTATATTTCTCCTATGTTTTGACGCATTACTGTACTTCCAATAAACCTTAAAATTGTAAAAAGTGCATTCTTGTCATGATACTCTTAGATACTAAAAACAGCTAACGTGAAATTTTTGGTAAGTTCAATATTTGTGTTCAAACTTAAATACATAAATTATATATTTTATAAAGACAGCATTTATCCTAAGGACATGTCTCTTAGTCTTATATATTGTATAAATAATACATTTTAAATATTTGAAGGCAAGAAAATATAATAGATAGATAGACAGATAGAAATCTTTCTTTATTCTGGATACTCAGTCAGTATTGTTACACTGTTCTTCCCTGAGGTCCAGGGTATTATCTTAAACTACATTATATTACAAAATAAAATTAAAAGAAAAATGCATAAAAATATATAAACATTATATAAATATAATGAGTAGGGAGAGGGAGCCTAATATATTTTGGATACAATAATTTAAATTGCAAATATAAAATGCATTTCCTTATATTATAAATTATACTTAGTTAATAAATGTTATCTCAATGAGTATTTCCTGGTGGAAAACTTATATCAGAAGAGGAACTTGCTAACGATATTGTCACAAACATCATGGTTGGGTATTTTACTTTTTCGCATTTTGCTTACTGATCCTCCTGCTAAGTGATATTAAATTGTGAATTACGACACATCAGAAAAATGTCATGAGAGATTCATCAATGTTGTTTACGATTGATGAACTGAACAAGCTTAATAAGACTCTACGCTACATCGCTGCGACCTTTAGATGAGGGCACGCCAGAATTAAAATTAATGCTACGTGGATCAGGTGTGTAAGGTTTGGTGTCGATAGCTACAATTCCCATTTACAATACTTTGTCGTTACTCTTGAAATTTGTAATTCTATTGAATAACTTTCCCAGACTCCTAATGATTGTTTTTTTTTAATATCTTGAAAATGCCAACACGATTGGATTATAGCGTTTTGATTTTAGTAAAATTGACCGTCAGATCAGAAGATTATGTTGTAAATCTTACATATTGTCATTCCAGCACAAGCGTTCACAAAACGTGCTCATTCATTAATACAAACCAATAATGTAACAAACAGCAACTGACTTTGTGATCAGTTGCCAGGTAATCATCATAATTTCAACGTAAAATTCAAAATCAAATAAAGCAACTTTGAACTCCATCCGTAGAGTAACAATATCAAAGACGAATACAGTACTTTATCATTATGCAATTTGCATTTTAAAATGCAGTAGAACCAGAAAGGTATAAAAATTAATTAAAATAATATAACAATACTGAAATAACCAATTTTTGTATTGTAAAAATTTTTTTTTCAAATTTGTATATTTAAAAAAAAAATTAACAGGGTACTGTAATTCTTTACCTTTCAACATAAATCAAAAACATGAATGAATAAATATTGTGATTGAATATTTCCAAAGATACAGCTAAACATTACAGTACTTGCAATACAGTATTATCCTTGTAGTCTGGAATGCCACTGAAATCAGAGAGTTTTCACTATGTCTTTCATAACCTCGGCCCTCAAGAAGACTGGGAAAAGTGCGCAAGGCTTTGGCATTTCCCCGGAGGCAATCAATTTCAGAAAAAAAAACTTTGTTGGGCTATGTGTACAGATAACTACTCTTACTAAGGCATTTTATAAGATAATTTTTTAATTCAGAAGCAAAAATAATTATTTTATGAAAAACTTTAAGCTTACTTTACGACCGACATACACCGGGATTCCGATGATCATAGCAGGAACGGCAATACCGGCTATCAGTGCTATTCCGACAGGAGCACCTACTAATGTACCAAGCTGCCATAAAATCTTTTTCTTTCGGCTCCATGGTTTCTTGCCCCAGAATGTACAACCAGACGGACTACAAAATAGGGATGGGACAAGATTGATTATACATGGTAAAATCTAGAAACCATATAAATATTTAATTAATAACATTAAATTAAAGATTTACTATTAATGTATGTTGTAGTATTCATATATTTATTTTTTTAATAAGTATTTCACCAAAATTTTTGAATAAATTGCATTTGATAATAATATAAATTTATCTTATTACTGTATCCATAGAAAATGAATATTTACTTTTAATAAAATAAGTACCAATAACATAGATTATTAACTTTGATTAATAACTTTCGAATAGCCATCATAATGTCTTTTCAGTATAGCCATTGTTTTACACCGTTTCAACATTGTTACGAATAAATTATGTAAGACTACAGTTGCTTATTTGAGGATCCGACATTCAGTAACATTTGAACTCAAGTTTCAAAAGATTAATTTATAGTGGTTGCACAATAAGCTAGGTTATGCAGGCACTTAAGTATGCAGCGAATGATTTGAAACATCACATGACCTAACAAATCCACTTCACATGTTCTTGAATGTGATAGAAATAAACATAGCTTTTTACAGCAACAAATAATTACCTCTCAAAACTATTGAATTTTGTTTGACAAAAAAACGTGACATGCCTAAATATGGTAATGTGACATAATATCAGGACCATATATAGGCATATCATGACTATAGTTGGGCATACAACAGTTTTTTTTTTCAAAGACAGACAGAGCTTTAGAAACAAATAAAACCAATTTCATACCACCAAGGTATTTGTAAGGATTTTGACGAGTGTGCAGGTAGGTTAATGATCATTCAAAATTTATTGTTAAATTTCTTTTGGAATTTTTTTTTTATTACTTAATCAATACACCGTTAAACATGGTTAAAGTAAGAACTTAATGGGTCCTAGTTGAAAATTTAGGTTGGGCCTTTGGGAACCTAAATTAGCCAAAATCTGTTCATTTTCATAGTCCATCTGTTTACTTCATTCGTTAAACATGCACATGTTATAAAAAGTGTATTTCATTTTTAGAAAATTTACCTGCCTACCAATCATAGTACTTATTTTATTTATAATAGAGTAAAACGTCCATTTCACGAACGTCGATTTACAAACGTCGATTTTATAAATAGTTGATCATCAACCAATTATTACCGTGAAAAAGTCTGATTGCGCACGTTTTAAAAAATGATAATATATATTCTTCTTAATAATAAAGTCAAGTTTGTTGTATTAATTTATTAATAGAATACTAATGATAATAACATTAACAGAATCTTTTCTTGCATTTCTTGTATAATAACCACTATATTAATGTAATAAACCTAACCAGAACAACAAACTACCAATGCAAGTGTCGGATTGAGTGCACTTCATCGTGAATGCTAGATATGACCACTAGAGAAAGGTTTTTATCGAAGGTAAATTCAGCTAGGCTCTAGCGCGGTAGACCACACTGCTGCACTGTCGGTTCGTGCTAGGCCTGGCTGCCGTCAGCCTATCGACGCTCAGTGGCAGGGGATAGCTAGGCCTAGGTATTGGAAACTGACTAACGATTTAGTTTACAAATTTTTCAATTTACGAACACCACTGGGTACCATGGGGTAAGTAAAATGGACGTCGTACTGTACTTATAATTTATCATCAAATACTGTGAAGAATAGTTTGAATTGGACCTACCTTAGATAGTGAAGATCAGATATTTCCTTCATACACAACCAACAAAACTCAGCCCCACATACGGCACAGGTCATGTGATTACAAGAACCATCGTCCATCTTGATAATAAGAGCAGTGCATCTTGGGCAGGGTTTGACTTGATCTGAACACAAAAAAAACATACAATTTAAATGCCATTCTACGGTACTGACACTTATTAGACACTTTGCTACTACCTGTGTCTCTCCTGTATGTTGTAAGAGTAAATCAGTTGGAGGAATGATGGGTTACGTTGTAAGCTAAAGACAGAAAATGAACAGTCTTCCAAAAGTAAGCCCATGAAATATGAAGCCATGCCTAGACCTGTACTAGAAAGAACTAAAAAGACAACAATCTGTTACTTGTACGGTTATTATTCATATGAATTGCCAACACAGAGAGCATGGAAGGCTTACGAATTAAAAGTAGCCAAAAAAAAAAAAAAAAAAAACTATATCAAGCGGTAGATACATGTTCCTGCTGGGCACCTCAGTATGTTTTATGTTTATGTGATTTCAGACTCAGCGATGGTTCTGTTAAATGCCTTATAATTTTACATTTATTTTAATTGTTGTACAGTAGTAGAATAAAAAGTATTATTAGGAAAAATGGTGAAATGATGGCATGAAGTATGAAATACTGTGCTTCCATCAGTTATGATTCATTATGTAGTCTGGAACTTTAGTAGATTAAAGTCCAAATACTTGTTGGGCAGTAATAATGAAGATGAGTATTCTGCTCTACTGTACCGTAATGCAATACCACAATCTTGTCCAAATATGGTTGCCGGGCTATTGTGTATCAAACATAGATTTATCACTCATCAAATACTAGAAACGAAGGCCATAGATTTATCACTCATCAAATACTAGAAACGTAGGCCTAGCCTATATCAACAAAATTTTGATTACTGTACTTACAGCTAATTTGTAATTCACAAGTTGTGAATATTAACATTTCTATTGAAATCATCTTGCATTAGAACATATGGATGTGTCTAGGTTTTTTATAGCTTTATAAAGTACATTCAATTTTTTTGGGCAACTTTAGTATCTGAGGCTTTGCATGTCAGTAAATTGCATGCTAGAGTAGCGAGTTGGTTTAATTTTCAATGTATAACTTTTGCTTTATGTAATAATATTTATTAAAACATACACCTTTAAATCGGTGGCACTCAAAAATCATTTGATGCGTTCATAATTAGCCAATTAGACAAATTAATATTCTTAGCTACAAACTAAAAGTACATAAAATAATAAAATTATTAAACAAAACATGTAATTTTTAAGGAAATAAACACAAGAAGTAGGACTAGTGCTGCTGATGAGGCATTGTGTGACAATGATTATAAGGTTTTCTCATGGCCAAAGGTGACAATAGTACTTATTTGTTGATTTGTGCTTCATGAATAAAGTTTTTCGGCTATACTACTATTCAATAATAATTTAATTAGATGAATGTTTTAAATGTGAGCCACACAACAAACATGTATATATACAGTACTGTAGAGTTAAATATGCAAATTAATGCAAATGACAAAATAATAAATAAGCAAAAGGTAGATAATGATAAACAGATTCAGATAAGGGATAAGGATATTAAAGGATTAGTACTACTGTATACTGTAATGAAGCTTCATGATATCAAAATACAATTTCCAGTAATACAAAGACAATAATGTGAAGTGACATTCGGGGGACAACACTAAAAAAAAAAAAAAAAAAAGACAGTACATAAAGGAATGTACTGGAGACAGTACGATTAATGAATCGCCATGCATGTTCATACAACCGATAATTATTGTGATTTCTGCGAAAGCTCATGTTGAGAAAAAGATGTTAGCTGTTGAACAGATTGCGTTGTCTGCTCATTTGTTTAATTTTCAATCTATTCTTTGCCTCTTTAATATAAGCTCATAATACAGAAGTCTATGTCTTTCATTAGATACAGAGTAGTAATGGGTCACTGTATGCCAAATCACCTAATTATTATAAAAATCCCTTGTGAATATCTCCGATTTCAATGAAAACTTCTTACAATGTTTCTTTTTTTCAGGAAGAAAAAGAAGATTACAGCTCTGTAATCTAAGTTATTTTGAAATATGGCTCTTTGAAAGGTATGCCTCATGCCCTATTTCTTCAGATGTGTGTGCTGCATTTGTGCTCAACATTCTATTGAAAAACTGCCAGCTGTGACTTCTAGTCAGGCTTTGAGAATGCTTTAAAAATAAACAGTATTCATCAATTCACTCCATTAGGGATGTCAAAACACATTTGTTCTTGGCAACAAGAAATTTGTATCTTTATGTGACACTTTAGCTAAGCCATACCAAAATTGAGAAAATTCCCAGATTTCAGATAAAACGTGTAAAGTATTCAAAGAAGGTGACATACAGTACAACCAAGCAAGCGTAGTCTAACTGAATCACTGTAGTGTAAAGGTAATATAATCCATAATAGAAAAAACAAGACAAAATATTACTAGCTTCTCTATTGAATTACTAACACTACAGTATGTAGATATCAATATAGGGTATTAAAACTTTCAGCATAGAAGTGCATACCATGGAAAAACATTACTAAAACTGATAAATCCTTAAAATTTTATTTGTCTATTAAAAACTATGCTTTTGAAACTGGAAAAACATTTAGATTCACATTTATTTGAAATAATCTAATAAAAATAAATACAATAAAAATAATTACAAATATTGTTAATGAACAGACATACAGTAGTATACAGTATTTCTGACTTAGGAATAATGCAATGCCATACTTTTATATTTTTAGGTTTCTCATATTTATGTCTAGCAATTTCACTTTCATGTATCTGATGATTGCTTGATGAAATGGAAAGTGTGATACTGAATAAATAGACTGACACTGTAGTAGTGTTAAAATCCTGTTTCCCTGACCTTTATTTGATGATGTAAACTACAGTAGTGAGACTATATTCTGCTCTACCCGGTAGAGCATTATTTTATGAGTGTACTTTACATTATCAGTAGATCCCTTAGTTTTATGGATAAATTATTTAAATGTAGATTGATAAAAAAAATATAATACATAATAGGAGGAAGTTTAAATTATGTATACAGTACTTTATTCTAAAAATCCTGATTTAAAATATGGCATATAGTTCAATTGATGAAATCCATCTGGTTCCACAATTATTAGTAATGAATATTATTCATTGCTTTTCACAGTTTGAAGTAAAACATGGCCTAGTCATTACAGTATTTACTGTAGGTGGACTTGCTCAACAACATGAGTGGGCATAAAAAAAAATGTTGTGAGGGCCAATATGAATTTGAACAAGTGAGCCAAAAAAAATGGTGAAACTTTGATGTTTTTAAGTGGTTGTTAAAACCTTATACATTGCTTTTATACGGCTTCATTCTCGGTTTTAATGTTACTTTTTTACAGATGTTCACCGACGGGCCGTAACAACTAGGGTAAACCAACAAGGGTGTTTCAAACCAAAGGTGGTAAGCAGGTTGCACATACAGGCTTTTTAATTTACTGGCTGAAACAAATTTTCTGGGAGGGCAGGGTTCGAATTTCCTCAAAATGCTCCATCAGCAAGAAGCTGCTGTAGGCTATGACTTTTCTACAGCAATTTATTCTTCTTCTACAACAACAATCAACAACTTTATTGTTTTTAAGGGGAAAATCAGTTGTTAGGCCTAGCCTGGGTTAAGCAACTCGACAGCTAAAAGCTTGCTGTCGATCCTGGGATTTACCACAGCAGTGCAAGGCTGTTTCTACAGCATTTGCTGTCAGTGCTGTGGGGAAATTCGTACCCTGGAGGGGGAGAGGCAATCTTTAGGGCTATTCATGAGTAATCTGGCATAGCTATTATTGCAGTAGAAGAGTGCTATCATGTGAAACCAATCTAATAATAGCATTGCATGGAAAAATGAACATTTAATTGCGATTGGTAACAGCACGATGCAGCACCGGAAACAGCATCGGAAAGAGTAAATTTAGATGTACATGATATAATTAAAATTTCAAATGTTTGATAGATTACAACATCAATAGTTAAATAGAGAATTATCACAGACATCCATGTCAAATGAAAACACTCTAGAGAACAGATTCTAAAGTTAGGTAATCTGCAGTACTGTATGAAGCTAACAAGGTGTACTGTACTATATGCCAAATGGCAGTGCTGGATTAACCATTAGGCAAATAAGGCACAAGCCTTGTGGGCCAGGCGAAAATGATGGGCCATCAAAAGTTGGACTGCAATATTATTTACACTCTATTTTCCGGTATTATTAGGCCAGAAAACTCAGAGACATTCAATGGGGTCCATTCAATTAACATGTTTGGGCCATTTCCAAAATGTGCCTTGAGGCCAGACGATGCTTAATCCGGCACTGCCAAATGGGAGTGATTTACAAGTGTAGGCCCTTGATATGAATAATACCATACTGTCTGAGGCCCATGTAAACATGCTGAGTAAAAAGCAGAATATTAACCCCAAAAAAGCAGATATGACAAAGGAGCAGTTCACAGCAAATGTAGATGAGGTATGGAAAAGGGTCTACCGAATTCCCTTTTGTGTGGATGTAGAATAATTTATAGAATTCTATAAAGTAGTTACTGATGGAATATTTTATGGCCAGTGGATAGTTTTACAGGCATTATTAAGTCAGCATTCAGCAGTTTGATAATGGATTGTAATATGTGATGTATTTCCTAAAGTTGTCCTGTATTATAACAAGATAATTAAATTGTCAGCAAACACGTCAAGATCCAGAACGTTGCTACGCACACATTACGGGCAAATCAGAGGGCATTCGGATTGTCAAAAATGTGTCAAGATCAGAAAGTGGCTGAAGAAGATGGATAGAAAGAGGAAGATAGATTATTTTTTAAACAAATCCAAGAAAATCACCACAAGTCGTGTACAGTAATTTTGTATTTTTAACCATAAAGGGCTACAGTACAGCAATATTTTACTTGCAGTAATACAATCTTGTATAATGCCAATATTTACAAAAGTCTCTTATGGAACATTAAATTATTATACAACACCCATGTACGATATGGTACAACATTCTCGACATCCTGGGGATAGTTCAACCTCCGATTTACAACACTTCAAATTTTACATGTTCTACTTTATAACCAGGCTCTTTAATGACGTAACGCTAGAAATTTACTGTAATTTTGGTCTGACTGCCTATATCACATTCATTATTTAATATCAACAGTCAGATAATATTCCATTTTGAAAATGAAATAATAAATAAATAGTAGTACTGTATACCCTGTACAGCAGAAATATAATAACAAAAGTGAAGAAACCAGTATAAAGGAAATTTTGATTTGGATTTATTCAGTGTAAACATCAAAGAGAACTCACGAAGACTTATTTCTAGAGGGGTCCTTCTGTTGGTGATTGGACAGTACATCAGGAGATAATGCCAATGCTGAAGAGTGCACTGCTTTCCTTAACATGCACACAGGCCATAATGTCTCATCTGAAAGACGGTGCGCTATCATAACCTGCATTTCAGCCCTCCAGCTGAAACACAAGGAGAGCAGCTTTGGGAATTGAACCGGGGACCTAGAAATCTTCACGGCTCAGCACACACACAGTGGCTACCACCAGATTAGCCGACTGAGCTAAGCTGCTCTCTAAAGAGCAGAACAGGTGAACGAACACCTCCACAAAGTTGTCAAGCACTGCAGATAAATCTAAATTAAAATATTATATTTTTTTTATAGGCTGGCACTAAGCAAGGAAACTTACGTGATATAGAGCCTTGACTGCAGGATAGTGACGATTTCCTTATCCGTCCGGATCTCTGTTGGCGGGCCGCATCACAGGTCTGGTTCGGATGCCAGATCTGTTTACAATGGTAACAGAAGCTAGTGTTGCACCCAGTTCTTTGGCACGCTACCTCAGGACAACTTGCACAGCCTGCTGCTATCACAGCATATCTATTATCAGGTAATATAATAAGAGTATAAAAGCATTAAATTTAACTAGTACTAGCAGTATTATTACTACTGTAGCATCTAACTGCTGAAATTGAAAATAAAAAATAATTTATCTTATCATCAGTTGTGTTTATCAATTGTTTCAGTAGATTTCGGCATTGACAGTTTGCTTGAAAAAACAAAAAAATGATAATCCAAATCTGAAATGTACGATACTGTATTCGTACAGTATTTTACAGTACTTCAATTATAAAAGCACTATTCAAAATTAAATGCTGGTCCTTAAATTCTACGCAATTAGTGAATATAAAATGCAGCGCCACAAAAATCAACTGAATATAGAAAAATAATTATTTAAATATTATATCATAATGCAATGACATTATTTTTCTTTAAAGTATTGTACATTTTCCTACTATTAAAAAATATAATTAAAAATTATGTAACATTTAATATTGTACAAAGAGAGTTACAGTATCCATTACGCAATAAGAATTTATAGGGGACACATTTTAAGTATATTGACAGAGAGATAATGTCATTTAACTTGACATTTAATTAACAATTCTCGGTTGTTACACAACAACATAGGAATTGGTCATTATGTACAATGACGTCAGTTTTCAGAAGCACAGAAATGTGACGCAAAGTGTCTTCAGAAATAGTAAGTGATGCATTTCAAAGTGTACTCAGAAAAACAGTGTATGATGATGATGCTATTAATAACATTTTTGATTATATTTTCTATTAATTACTGTTATTTTAATTATTAATACTTCTATTTTAATATAATTATCAACAATTATTATTTTTATTATTGGGTGCATGCCATCGTTACCATCATTATCTTAAATAATTATTAACTCACATTGCATGTATCATCATTATTACATTTAAAAAAAAATTCATATTAGATACCAGCTCACCAACGGCCAGCATACTGTAGGCCTATAATACCTGTATTCACCATCTAGGATTACTGTATGTGACCATGATTGTTCATGGTACCAATGATTTCTTTGCATTTATAGACGTTAATGGTACTTGGTCCATTCGAAGTATAAGCAAATAAAAAAAATTAATACCGGTATTTAATAATTATTTAAGTTTTTATAGGACAACAGTGTCTTAACGGTACTGACAGTATAGTTACTAGCAATTTCTCAAGGTGTGTGGAAATGGAATAACCTTGCCAAGGTGATACACATCCTACAAATTATAGTCAGTTTTTTAATTAACTTGATTAATGACAATTCATTGTTTATTGCTTACCCACAATCTGGTGCTGGGCACCATCTACAATCTGGATCCATCATTAGGACACGGCGAAGTGCAAACTCTTCATATTTACTCATCAGCATATTATCATTAAGGATCCTCTTGATGTCATTAGGATGAAAAACTTCCGCACACTCGGGACAAGCAATGTTTACCCGACTTTCTGTGATCTCAATCTTTAAATACTGACGCAGACACTCCTGACAAGATCGATGTTCACAGGTGATAATGTCCGGAAACTGATCCTTTGGTCTTTCCATAAGGCACAACGGGCATTCCATCACATTCCCACGCTTCGACGATGTGCTGACATATTCACCGGCAGCCTTGCTGGCACTCCCTTTGCGGAAGTGGCCTGGTGGAACACCGGTTTCTATGTCAAAGCTTCCACGAGATTTAGATCTTCGGGACATCATTCTCGTAAGAAATCCGCCTTGCTTTTTACTATGCAGAGAGCTTGTTGTGTTCTGAGATGCTGTCGACTGGATCGACTTTGTATCAGGCTCCCCTTTCCCCATATTTAATTCAGTTCAAAGACTTGTGTAATAAAATGTTCCTTATTATTATTGAAATTAAATGGTGAACAATCTATAATGTTCCAGGTACTGTATCTGTATTCAATTCAATGAACTCATCTTGGATTTTTATGATTGGAATGAATTTTAGTCCATGGCTGACCCGCATAATTTTACATCTGTCAAAAAAAGAAAGATACACTGTAACAAAATCAATAAAATTATATTCATTTTTAAAATGTGTATGGTAAATAATTTATAAGCTTACCGATTTATTCACTTAATACTTCAAAAAATTCAAAAATCAATGTTCTAAATTGCCGTCATGTTGACATTTTATTGGGTTAAAGGGCTCAGTAGAAAAAGCATTCAAAGATTGGCAACGATGTAAATCAGGTTATATATTCAAATCACCAATCTTTAATTACTTTCATACTTTTTACCAATTTTATTTGCATCGAGAAGCAATTAAATTTTCATCATGACGAACATAAACTTTGTATGTCAGTAACACTTTACAAACTCGGTTTTGTTAAAGAGGCCTACATTAGGGAGTGTTAGCTTGACAAATTTAATAAATTTAAAAGATTCCCATTCTTTACCATTACTTTTGTACAATAATTCCTCAGGTGCAGTATACTGAAACAGAAAAAAAAAATGTCCTACAGTAGGCTAGATTTTATGTGGGCCTACTTAGCTGGAATTACCTAGCCTAGATACTCTTGTTGTAAGCTTGTAAAATTGCTTGAATTCTCTGGTTATATGTAAAAATATAATCTTAAAACATACCCATATCTTGTGATTTAGGGACGGATAGGCTTAGAGTGTACAGTATCCTAGTGTAAGAAACTATAATGTACAGGTGCTAATTCATATGGATAATAAATACAAAATAATCCATAAAACTACTGTAATGTTAATACCAAATAAATTAATTAAAAATATTATATTCAACAATAGCCACTTAATTTTAAAATTATCTAGCCAGCAGCTGAGACACAATCGGGTGAATCATGAAATATTATTCCATTCTATAAAATACAAAAAAAAAAACCCTTAATTATATTCTTTATTTAAAAAAAAAAAAAAAAAAAAAAAACCAAAACAGTACAGTATGTTGGGACTAAAACTATTGATTACAGGCTAAGCACTATTCTTAAGTGGCTAGGGTCATATAGCACTGCTTTTTTTTTCTTTGCACGTTCAGTAGATAGTAGATTATGCACTATGTAAATCTTGATACCTGAACCTACATTAAAGCAGGTAGGGCGTAAAGGCACCCTACAGTAAGTATAACCGACACACAAATTGACAGAATGACAGATTTCATCTTTTATATGTTCAGATTCACAAATGCATCATGCTACTATAAAATAACACTAATTAACAGTGGCATTTCATAATACTGAATCTTAAGCTATACACATAATGATTCCTAGAATTTTATTTCATTGTAAATTTATTCAGACCTTTTACACTCACACAAAAAAACAATAAAATCAAAATTGATCACTGAAATACCAACATTGTTACAAACCATTGAGACAACACCTGGTTGTAGCAAACTGGATACCCACAAGTGAAGTGAAATCACTATCGCAAGGTTTGGATGGGGTTTGCACTGTGTTTTTGGAGGTTTGTGGTGTTTTTTAGGTATTTTTAACAAAAAATGGCCTTTTTACCCAAAAAGTAGGTTGTTACAAACATAAAATTATAATTTTTTTTTTTACCGAGATACCAAGTGAGTTTTTCACTACATGATTCAATCACTATCACAAGGTTTGGATGGGGTTTGCACTGTTTTTTTGGAGGTTTGCAGGGTTTAGCAATACCCGAATGCACCACAAGTCCGCAAGTACTACTGACGGTGAAAGTGTATTTAAAGATTATCATTATTATTAGTCAAATTTTGGAGGGTTTTCAACATTTTTTTTGTTTACAATATTGTATATTGTATAAATTATTTAAATATGAATTAATGTACTTGCAAAAACCTAGTACACTGCAAAAGAATCCGGTATTCAAGCATTTGCACTACAAAAGAATCCGGTATCCAGAGGGTTAAGAACTAAATAATCTTTACCTAAATTATGGTGATTGTATGCCGGAGTACAAGCAAACAACTACAGTATCTCACTTGTCAATGTCATTTACAGTAATTATAATTATTAAAAGAAAATCTGTGAAAATGGCACTTACTGTATACCTGTAATCATGGCATTCAGCCATGTTTTCGTATACTACAATAATACAGTATTGATTTATTTTTTTGCTGTGTACAGTATCTGATAAAGGATAACAAACAAAAACAGGATGGTACTGTATAGACTGATAAACAGCAGATACATGAGTTTGCATTTAATCATTATAGTATTCCAAAATACAAAAATGAAGCCTGCAACTTGCATGGCTTTTAATTCAAAGAAGCCATGCCTACACATACTGTATACTAATTACTCATAGCGGGCCGATTGTAGTTAGTGTTTTAAGTATTATTATGGCTGTTTAAAATTATTATTTTTATCAATTGTCGTTTCCAATTACATAATAAATAATGGTTATTATAAAACTGTCTCAAGTCTACAGAGTATGTTCTCAGACTACAATAGCAGCCTGTTTTTTCTTTGTTTTAAGATGGCTTCTAAAATTTTCCAAACAGGTCCACTGAATCCCATTGGTTTTTTTTGGTCATTCCCATTACAAGTTGATGGTCCATAGAACATAGTAATTTAATCAATAATCATTGAACCCCTTTAACATCCAGAAAGGTTATAGGTCATTGTCAATTATGCCACACCATGTGCACACAGCTCGTTCAAAATCCTAAAGCTGATGCGTTATAACAAGTACAGTGTGCATCAATTATTGTAAATCACAATTTACAAAATGGTTTTCTACATGCAATACTTATGTCTGTAGGTAGTGTAAAAATAGCCTAGGAATCAGTTTAATGGCTGGTCTGAATTAAATAAATGGCTTCTCTGGCAAAAGAAATCAACAAGGCAGTGCTGGGAAAATGGGTAGTAAAATTCTTTCAACTTATTAATAGTAAATGAATCAAATGAATTACAACATTATTGATCCATCGTGGGTCCAGAGGTTTAGCTGGTTTTCTCAATGTCTGTGTGTGGAATTTTTGGAGCCTTTAAATAAAGAATATAATGAGGCACTAGTGATATGGTATTCAAATTGTCCCTTTATCTTTAAGAATATAAAGAATATAAAAAGGCACTATGAATACTGCACCATATCACTAGTGCCTCTTCATGGCTACTACGGTATATATAAAGAGACACTAGTGATACAGTATGGTATTCAAAATGCATTTGGATGGTGGTACTGTAGGCGTCTGGAAATCAAATAAATTTGGTGGAACTGCATGAAATCCATGAGGAATCATTCATTTTACATTATTTTCGAAAGAGTAACTGTAAAAACTTTACAGGTGTTGATAATCCCACAGAATTATAAAGACGAGGCCCCAAAGACAGACTTTTTAGCATGGATTCAGACCACCTTAGCCACACCATAGGTAGAATATTTATGGATATGCCCCCACCTCCAAGTTACTAACTTACTGTAGAGGGCTGTAAATTGCACTCTGAGACTTCAAATTCAATGTACAGTAATTTTCATTTCCTGTTTTTTTTTTTAAAGCCACACCACAATTTGAGTTCACTGTTGCTTCAAACTTTTCTCTTTGACCAGCCTCTCTCCCTCTGAATATGAATTGCCATTACTATATGTTTTGCTCTCTAGAGCCAATCTTATAGATATGGATAAAAATAATGAATCCTAGAGGAAAGGACTGATTAAATGTTTTAAAGTATATAGAAAGATAACTGTATAGTCCCTGATGAGTATAGCCATTAGGCTACTGAACAAAACAGATCTCTACAAAGTACAGTAAAAGACTTAAAAACAATTCTTATACCTACTGTAGCATAGTGAACTAAAATAAAACAAAAAATGCTTACCATAACAAGTTCAAAGTATGAGTCACAGGACAAAAGCCCATCTTACAATTAGGAAAGTACCGCAGACCAAAGGTACGGTAATAATTATTTTTAGTCAATGACGAAATGGGAGATGCAGTGTGAATGTCTGCTTGTTATTTCAATACTATAACAATAAACAAACCATATGCATATGCAATTTTACGAATCCCCCAATTTATGTACGCCCCCTTCGGTTCTGTACCGTTCGTGAAATCGAGGTTCTACTGTACAAAGAAATCATCAGACAATATCCCTCTGCATCATGAAGTAGGGCCTACAATTACAGTCTGACATTACAGTCAGTAAATCACAAAATTATAAACCAAAAATGTTTTTTTTTTCATTGTTGAAAGTCTGTTTCTTTGACATTCATTTACATTATAGCCATAAACAGACATACTGATATACTTTATTGTCACATCAACAAAAATGCGCGATTCGGTGCCTTGTTACAGTAAAATATAAAAAATACATTGAAAATACATACTGTACCAAAAAAGTCATTTAAAAATTTAAAAAAAATTAAAATTTGAATTTATTATTTGTTTATTTTTAATTTATTATTTATTACAATTTTTTTAAATATAAAAAAGATTAAAATTTGAATTTATTATTTGTTTATTAATTTATCATTTATTGAAATTTAATTCATTTAGTATTTACAAATGTACTGCTTTTTTATTTAATTAATGTTATCACTAGAAAATACAAAATTGAATTTAAGGAGTATCAAATAGCAATTAAGAAAAACGGCAATATGGTTTTTTACACAGGTAAATAATTACACTGATGAGTAGCATTGGTTTAAGTGCTTGGCTATACAATGTAATACTTGAATATGAAGATGATATTGATCGTGTAACATGTCTGCAATAGCGAATGGATTGTGATTTTGTAATTGATATATATATATATATATATATATAGGCCTATATAAAAAAACTGAAAATTTGAATGGAATTTAAAATGAAAATATACAAGTCAAGTTTAATAATAAATTATTGCACAAGTAGCACATAAGTACTTTTGCAAACTAAAAGAGGGAAGGGCTTCTTTTCAAAACAGGGTTCTTTTTCAAGGTTTTACAGTACAGTACAGTCCTATCACCATTGTTGAAAATTGAAAACTTAAACTTATGTTAAATACTAATTTTCGGTAGTTAGCAGTGGTGTGTTTTTTTGTGCGTAGCGTATCTAAGTGCCTACCGACCTCAAATGCCATCCGTTTTGGCCGTGAACCAATGTGGCCATGTTGAATTAACATCCAGAAAATCAGGAAATTAAGTGTGTTTTGTTTGTCTGAATTAAAATATTCACTATCCTTATTTAATATACACAGGGATGTCACCAGCTTTTTGAAGTGCCCGTCGGCGATCATTCCGCGTTTTCCCGGGGGTGGGGGTCGCTGTATTTCGTGAAAGCTCTTAAAAACCAAAAGGCCTAAGTAAGTCGTGCAGGCCTAGTCCCAAGGCTAGCTGACGCGATTTTTTTGGCTAGGCCCAGGTAGGCCTAGGCCAGAATTTGAGGAATGCAACAAAACAGATGAAGATGAGACTTACTGTAGGCCTAATTAAATTCAATAGTTGACATGCTTTATTAAAAAACAATAATGAACATATCCCGGCGACAAAGCGTTGATCCGACTGTACCCAGCCACATTGTTTGCCGTAATTTCACATGTTTGACGATTACCACGATGAATGTGTATGTCACTGATTCATGTGCACTCATTTATTTATTTTTTGTCCATTTAAACACATTATATATCAATTATAATTAAAAGTGAAAAACTTAAAATACAAAATGAAAACAAAGTAAAGAAATAAAACATAAATCAGTTTTCGTAAATTTTTAATAATCTTCCTGCCCCGGACCATGATCTCATAATAAAACACTTGAATGGTCACGATCTCAACTTTAACCTTTGAATGTGTACAGAGTAACTGTGTCATGCCGGCCCACGATGTTCGCTATGACTCAACATTTATGCCTGGCCTAGACTCTCCTTGGTGAATTGAAATTAAACATGTTGTTTGCTGTTCATTTTATTACTTTTAAGAGAATAAGCATATTTATTACATTAAAATCATCAGTATTACATGTGTTGTTTGTTTACATATTTAGGAATTAAAGGTAAATAAAGTCATAAAGTAAAGTAAACATGTCACAAAACACGAATTTCTGAGATAAAAACATCTTAATTTAAATCTTTAAAAAACCATTAATTCTTAAATTAACTTACACATAGGCCTAGTTTCATTGTGGTCCCAAAAAAAAAGTTTCCTCAATCCTTATCACATCCTCATTAACAGGCCTATCAATCAATCTATACCCGAAAAAAAAAACCTCATTTGAGCCCTCCGTCTCCGGTACTGTCAGTGTCACTGAAGTGTTTAGCCGTCATAGCTAGCCTGCCTGGCTCTTGTGTAGCTTGCCCAGCCAGCCACTGCCAAGCCTGCCCTACCCAACACATTCAAGTTCTGTGCTCTCAAAAAACCAAATTAGAGGTAATTAAGTTGAATGTATCTAATAATAACACAAATACTCACATTTGATAAATATAATGGTAGTGTCTTGCAGACTTTTTCGTACATAGTAAACCAGAACACGGCCTAGTAAACGTGAATTTAAAACGCTTTAAACAGCAACAAAACTAGGCAGACACTTTGCTCGAACCATCCTCTATATCTGCTGTTTTTTGTGGTGGGAGTAATATGACGTCATCTACTGAACAGGCTCTTCCATTATTATACATCACAAAATATGTTTCATAAATACTCATACACGGTTTATGAGATACGGTTGGATTAAAAATAAAAAATAATTATGCTGGCTAAATAATGCTTGACGAACTTTGTTATATTGATTCTCTTTTATACTAATAAAGATGTAATGTTTGGAACAGAGACTTAGTCAAAATGGCAGCCCCCGTACGACATACAATTGACGATCCGAAATCGTCGATATAGGGAGGTATTTAAGTTATACCAAACAGGTCGGTCACTCATGGTTGACCCTACTATATTAAATACATGTTTTACCAATCACAGATATGCTATGGATTATGTTTGCATCAAAACACAGATTAAAAATATTCAAAAATGTAAATTGATGTAAAAAAAAATGTTTACTTTCGTTTTTTATTTAGAAATTATTATTTTTTATTATTACACAAATCAAATGTAAAAAATGCCTGGAACCGATGAGTCTATTATAACAGACCATGTGGTGGCGCTACGTCATAGAATTTTTCCAGAAGCTAGGGAAGCTCAATCAAAAGAATCAGTTTAAAGTAACAAAAACACAAATAAATAAATAAATAAATAAATAAATAAATAAATACATAAATAAATAAATACATAAATAAATGAATAACAAAAAATAAATAAGTAAGTAAATAAGTGAGTAAATACGTAAGTAAGTAAATAAACAATTAAAACAATATTGGTATAAACGTTTAGTGTTGACTATATCCATTTTGGCTTGAGTCAAGTATGTTACAGTCAGGGGTGGCGCCAGGATTTGCCCGACAGGGGGGAGCCCGAGGTCCCAGACGGGAGCCCGAGGTCCCAGACGGGGGGGGAGGTCCCCGACGGGAGGGGGCGGTGCCCCGACGAGGGGTCAGATTTCCCCGACAAAAGCAAAGTGGCCGTGGTCGAGCTTCGATTAAAAGGTTCCGAAAGTGGTCCTGGGGGAGAAGCCCCCTAAAATTTTGACAATTTAGGG